TACACGACTAACTACTTCCTACGTAGTCCATAACCTATGCAGCTCTTGACTCCATACTTTATGGCCTATGAGTCATCATAGCTCACCACTACAACCTATATAACTAGTTAGGTCCTGCTTAGTCCACAAATCGTGCAACTTCCAACTATAGCCTCTGCGGCATATGGATGTCATCGTAGCATGCCACTACACCTTATGGGACTAACTATGACCTATGTGGTTCATAACTTTTGTAGTTCTCAACTCTAGTCTTTGCAACCTACGAATGTTATTATCGCTCACCACTTAGCTGACATGATCAATTACAACCAACATGGTCAAAAACTTGTGCAACTTCTAACTATGACATATGCGGCCTACAAACATCATTGCAATCCATCACTATGGCCTTTGTGAACCACTTTGGCACACCTGGTCCACAACTCGTGCTACTCTCGATTCTGACCTCCATGACATATGAACGTCATCATGGTTCACCACTATAACCTACGTCGCCCACAGCTCGTGCAACTCCCTTTTCTGGCCTCTGTTGCTTACGAACATCATCACAACTCCCCACTATGACCTACATAACCAACTACAACCTACATAGTCAACAACTTGTGCTGCTCCTGAGACCAACCCTTATGGCCTACGAACGTCATCACAACTCACCACTACAAGTTATTGACCAGCTACGATCTACGTGGCTCACAGCTCCTACAACTTCTACGATGACATCTGTAGCCAATCAAAGCTTTGTAGCCAATCAAAGCTTCAGAGGCAATCATCTGTGGCCCACACAATAAAATACTATTATGTCTTCAACTACGACCTATATGATAAGGTGAAACTATAATCACCATCTACGATATTCACGACAACCTAAAACCTCTATAACAATCGAGTACGACCCTTAGAGTCTGCTATCACCAAAAAAATACATTCATCACAGTCGAATTATGACTATTATTAATGAACGACTATTGTACATTTACAATGATCGACTTGTAATTTTTTTTTAATTGAAGAGAAGAGCAAACATGTATACTCATCATTTATATTATATTATTTCAATTGGACTAAACCCCATGAGTTTTTCTCCTTTCTAAGGTTTTCCACGTAAGAAGTTAGTCTCTCATTGTATTTACTTCTCTTTAATTACTTAAATGTGTGTTAGTCTTTAATGCAACTCTAAGATGATAATTCATTGTTTTACCACAACGGGCCTTCAAACACACACATAATTGAACATGAATAACTTATGAATCCAAATAAGGACAATGTGACTTGGTTCGACTACAATTCTTAAATTCATTTGATCGACTGAAAATGAAATAGGCGTCTCATGTGATTGAAGCCAACGAGCTAGTTATTAACGAGTCAAGTTTTCTTGTTAAAACCATAAGAGGTTGTTTGGTTGCAAGTAGGATTTAAATTAAATATAATTTAGTAAATCTTGTAAATCTGTATTTATCAAATATTGAAGTGGTTAAATCCCGAAAAATGTTTAGTATGTTGGTGAGTAAATCCCAAAAATCTCAAGAAATTCTTTGACAATTTTAAAGTAATTTAATAAGATTTATGAGAGTAAACATAAAAATAAATAATAATAAATAAAAAATACAAATGAGTATTACAAAGTACATAAAAAAGTATTCCCACTAAATAATAATTAGTTATATGAATTAATAATTAATAAACTTTTAATTAGTTGTTAGAGCATAAGTTAACATCAATTAATTATTAGGCAATGAATAAATTTGCAAGCACTTAAAATTTTTAAAGTATTTGTATTCATTATTTAATCATTAAATATATACATTTAACGCCACTTAATTATAATTAAATTAATAGTATATAAATTAATTATTAATTATTAATCAATTAAATTAATAAAGTATTTAGTCATCACTCCGAAACCCTAGAACACCCTACCCTCCGCCGGTTTCGCCAAATCTTCCCATCTCCGCCCAAACCCTCGCTGATCTTCCTCCCCCTTCCCCTCCCCTCTTTCCCGCTCGGCTGCGCTCAAAACCATCGCCTTAGTGAACGAACCTTTTTTCTCACCCTTCTGCGGCTGGCCAAGCAGCTACCTGGAAAGGCAACGACGTGATCGTGGCGTACACAGGCCACTGAAACTCCCATATTTCTCATCCTTCCGCTCCCGCTCCCGCTCCCGCTCCCGCTCCTACCGGAAAGCATTGAGGAAGGTAAGCCTGTTCGCTCCATTCCTCCTCTTCACTCGTCCCGGATTCACTAAATCCACCGATTCACGGGATTTACTAAATCCCGGATTTATGGTGAATCGGCTTCATTTTAGGATTTACGGAGATGCGTTTTGCTGTTTGGCAGGATTTAGCCTCAGCCCCAGCCATCTCGGAGTCTCCTTGCTCCCTAGTTCGATCCTTGGCATCCCTACTAGTCCGCAGCCGCATTAGCAACCTCAGCCGTCCACCTCCCCCCGCGGTCTCGCTCCTGCAACCACAGGCTTCAAGGTAATTTTTTTCATTTTAGGGTTTAGGATTGCCAAGCTCGAGCTTCGAAGTTTGAGAATAGCGTTCTGTTTCTCGAGTTATGCTAGAGCTTACAATCTTAGAGATCGAGTTTGAGCCAGTACATATTAGACCAGTCGAGCTTCCTAAAAAAATTCTCTTTTTTGTATGTGAATTTCCATTTTTTGGGGAATTTACATACATAGTGCACAATTCTTATGTATTTAATTAGCTAACACCTAAACTTTCATATTTACATGTATAACAGTCAAATTTTTAATATCACATAAAAACAGTACTGTTTTTAACTTTTTGGAAGTGAAATGCATCTATATACGTACTTTCTGACACCAATTGTTATAAATGTAAGTTTCAAACTTTAGGTTTTGGATATATAAATACAAAGGAATTGTGTGGTATGTATGTAAAATTCTGTTTTTTATGTGAAATATGATTTATCCTCGGGGGTAGGAACCAGTTTTGCTTTTCTGAGGAGGAATTCATTTCTTTATATAAGTTTCATCCTTTGATTGAGGGATCCAATTTTTTCTTTATGTGGAAGAAGTCATTTTTCTATATGGGGTGGGTCATCTTTTTAAGGAGTTGACCGTATTTGTCCATTTTAAAAAGGGACTCAAATTTAATACAGAAAATCAAGACAGCGTCTCCTCATTTTATCAACACTTGTTGAATTTCTATTTTATACACAATCTATATCAGGAGTTTATTCGTTAGCATCATTTTTGACAAGATTGACTCAACATGAGATTTCTGTAAAAAGTGATTTTTTTCAATTGAAATAACAAACATGTTGTTCGCTAGACGAAGCTTGATGAATGCTCCATAATAGGCGCTTGTACACCAATTTTTTGCTGTTCTAGATGCTATCACCTACAATTATGATCAATTTTGTTTTTTTTGGGTAATTACATATATAGCACTCGAAACAATGCTATTTAAAAATCTAGCACTCTCTTTCATCCTTTTTACAAATTCTCACTCAAATATCAAAATTCATGATAAAAGCCTGACCCATATTTTTCATTTTATCAAATTTTCAATGATTTGATCATGACATTGATAAATGCATCATTTAGGTAGTTCATTAATATCACTTGGCTCCTAGATTTGTAAATAGCAATGTTTCGGGTGCTACCTCCTTTTTTTCAAGCATAGAGAAATTTCTGGAACTCAAGGGTGCAAGTTGTATTGCAGGTTTCTATAGAACTTAACTAATTGGTGGGAATAAATTCTATTGTTGCATAGATGTAAGGGTGGTTCAGGTATTGTTGATATTTTGTGAATTCAAATATATTTTGTGTCACCTTTTGCTCAGTTTTAGAGAGAATTTCTCAATTTAGAGAGAAAAAATTCCAGGTTTGTAATAAAAGTCTTCTTCTTCTATATTTATTCGTTTTTGCTCGTTGCATTAAATCAAGAGAGTACACACTTAAAAATATTTTGGCTTCTATTCTAAACTCCAAATTATAGTGTCAGTGCCACTCTTTTATTATGGTTCACCACTTCAGGTTGTGCAGACCCTCTTGTGCACGTATCTTCATTTCGTTGATTGGATTAAAAAAGCCTCAACACTTGTGGGCTCATCCAACATAAATTGGAATTCATCTTCTTCTAGAGTCTAGTTCTATAGTTTATGCTTGTTAATGGTGAATTGCATGTTCTAGAGAAGTAGTGAAAAGGTCTATTGTAGCTATAGTGCAAGGAATATATTGCAGAGCACACATTTATTAAAAATTCACGAATCATAATTTTATGAAGCTCATTAATAACTCAACCATTTGAGAGAAAAAGCATCCTAGGAAAAGAATGTTGGAAAGTTCAAGCACAAGGTTGTCAAAGTTTTGAGAAAAATAAGTTGAATTCTAAATAGGCTCGATGTCTTTTCCCTTTGCTTTCATTCCATTAAATAATAATCTTACAATCTATTTTAGGTAGAAAATATTCCGTGTAATATATTTTAGGTAACTTAATAATACATATTCCTAATTTAAATATTCAACTAAAAGGAAATAACTCAGAACAAAGATATTGAAAATAATTTAAATAAGGAAGCTCATAATTATAGAAAACTCCTGATTTGGCCGCTTGTCCGTTCTTCCTAATTGACATCTCCCCTCAAATTGATGCTGACTGATCAGAAAACATCAATTTGCTAACAAGAAATTGATAACACTGCCGGGACAAAAAATTCTCAAGTCATGAGTGTCAAAGCCGAGAATGTTGAAGCTTCAAAGACAACTCCTAAACCATAACATGATTTGAGCAGAGAAGAACAAGAATTCCTTTATCATTATTGTCCAAAAATTTGAATCATAACCAAAAGAAGGATTTGTTTCTAGTTGCATGATCAAAATGCTACCGATCATAGCCCACAAAATAGGGATCCAATTACACGATCCAGATGCTATCGATCATAACCTACAAGTATGATACACGTCCTGATCCAAATGCTACCGATCATAGCTCACAATTAGGATTTAGTTACACGATCTAGATGTTATCGATCATAACATACAAGCAGGATCCGCGTCTCGATATCCAGTTGCATGATCCAGATGCTATCGATCATAGCCTACAAGTAAGATCCACGTCCTGATCAAATTGCTACAGATCACAACCCACAAATAGGATCCAATTACACGATCCAGATGCTATCGATCATAGCCTACAAGTAGGATTCATGTCTTGATCCAAATGCTATCGATCATAACCCACAAATAGGATCAAATTACACAATCCAGATGTTTTCGATCATAGCCTACAAGTAGAATCCGCGTCCCGATATCCAGTTACATGATTCAGATGCTATTGATTCTTCCTGTGACAACGAGGACATTTGTTCTCTGATCTTCACGCCGAAAGTGCTGAAGCCGAGATGCTGAAGAAGTGGGTCTAGGAAGGAGTGTCGAAAGCTTGAGTGCCCATTTGGAAGGACTAAGCTGCAGCGATGAGAACAACGACAAAACGTTACCACCTCTAATGTTTCCCTCAATCTTTGCTCCGACGAAGAAGAAACGTTACCGCCGCCACACTTCACGGTAGATCCAGGAGATGGAAGCATTGTCTAAGGAATGTCCGCACCCAGATGATAAACAACGGCTTAGGTTAAGCCAGGAGCTTGGCCTGAAACCTTGCCAGGTGAAGTTCTGGTTCCAGAATCGCCGAACACAGATGAAGGCACAAAAGGACAGGGGGGCGGAGAACGATAGTCTGAAGAATGAGAACTACCGGCTGCAAGCGGCGATCCACGTTATATGCCCTAGTTGCGGCGGACCAGTGATACTTGGCGAAATGTCGTTTGACGAGCACCACCCCCGCATAGAGAACGCTCGCTTGAAGGAAGATAGCCAAAATAAACCAAGAAATAACGTTTTTTCTTCTAAAGGGAAAGTTCCTCCCTTCCCGTCCCTCAAGAAGGCCGACGAGAAGTGTGTTTTGACGATCCTCCAATGATTATCAGTGGTTAGGGCAAAAATTTGACTCTGATATCATGTCAAAGTTTTGAGAAAAATGTATTGAATTCTGAAGAGTCTTGATGTTTTTGTCCTTTGCTTTCATTCCGTTAAATAATAATCTTACAATCTATTTTAGGTACAAAATATTCTTTATAATCTATTTAGGTAACTTAATAATACATAGTTCTAATATAAATATTCAGCTAAAATGGAAATAAATCAGAATAAAGTTATTGAAAATAATTTAAATAAGAAAACTCCTAATTATAGAAAACCTGTAATTTAGTTGTTTGATTTTCGTCATTCCTGATTGACAAAGGTTGTTAAAGGTTCAACATGAATAACTATTAAATAGCATTTAACGCAGGAAATTCAGTTTAGGTTCTGTTTGGGTCAGTTGCAACTTATTGAATAAGCTGCTAATAGGCAGTTGATCCAGATAAGCTGCTAATTATTAGCTGATCCGGATAAACTGGTTGGCTGTTTGATTTATGTGTTGGAAAAGACGGGATCTGTTGATAGGAGAAACCGAGGGAGAGGCGAGGGAGAAGTGGTCGAGGGCAATAACGGTCAAGCGAGGGAGGAGACAAACAGAAGGGCACGGAAGGAAACAAATTCAGACGCAGGATTTAAGACGCGTGTTGCATGGTCGATCCTGCTACCTAGTTTATTAAAGAAACCCAATCAGGGTTTTAGGATACGTAGGTAAAACACGAAAACCAAACGTGTGAGTTGCGTTTTCAAAACAAAAACACAAAGTATAAGCTGCCCCAAACGGGAGCTTAATCAAATTAATTGATTTTAGCTATAATATTAGTAAAGAAAAACTAAAGTGAGTTAAACCCAAGATTTTTAAACTTAATTGAAACCTCTTATACAATGATCAAAACCATTTACCAAACACATAGTAATAATAAATGGTAATTAAACTGGCCAATGCTTGCTCTTGTTAACACATGCAGAACTTAGGAGGAACAATAAAGGAACCAAACAAGCCCCGAGTTTTGGAGCAATGTTTACACGTTTTTTGTGTGAATGTTTGAAGGATTTTGCCCACTATATTTTGAATTGTTGAATAATTGTAGATGCATTTGTAGACGAACAATTCAATTATGATTTAAAAGTGTTATAGCATCTCTGAATTACTCTGTTATAATTAATGCCAGCTGTAACCTGCTTAGATATCAGCCTTTGGCATATGGCTTGTTTGAAGTGTTTTTTTATGCAATTTATGCTGAAACTTCTAATGTAACTGTATATCTAATTCAAATTTTATTTTATTGTGCACACCAATAACAATCTTATATCATGTTGATATTTCTATTATTTTTCTTGGCATCATAATATTTGTTCCTAATATTTAATGGAGTGTTGTCACCAATGCCCTTTTTTGTGTCTTGAGAATGTTAAAGCAAGCATATAAACCTACCATACAAATTTATATCTAAATTATTGGGTGCATAGAACGTTGGTCAGACCTTTGCCTGGTTTTTAGTTGGATTTCATCTTTCTAACAGCTTTTTCGCTACTTTTTTCTTAATAATTTTCCCGAGTTGAATTAGATTTATTTCATTGTAAACAGTCATGGCTAAATGTGATCAATTTCCCTTGTTATATTTCTAGGCTCGCCCTGTTGTGCTGCTCTCATCTCTGGAGCTGTTAGGAGAAACACTTCATTGGTCTAGTGAGATATCATAAACGAGGCGAAATTGAAATATGGCGGATTGGGGTAAGCCCATATCCATTTAATGTTAATATTGGTTATCTTGATTATTCAGTTCATTCTCTAAATAAAGCATTATTTTGCTGTGTAATCATCTGTCAGTGTGCTAGTCAGTCATAGTTTTGTTCCATTCGCAATCAATCAATTGATCAAACCAAGTTTTGTTTAAGATTTATAGGAACCCTAGGATTTTGAGCATAGAATTTTCTAGTTATTAAACATCCATGAATCTTGAATATTTACTGATGTTATGGTTCATTGATTAGTTACTCAACAATCCACAAAAAAAAAAAAAAAAGGCCTTCTAGGGATCATGCATACCATGTTCCTAACAAACCTAGATATTTTATATTTTTAATGGATTATAAAAAACCAAAAACATATCTTTTAAGATCTCGTATTTCAGTTTCTTGGCAGTACAAAATTGATAGGTTTCTCCCTTTGGCAAGTCTAGGATTAGAAGATAGTTTGAAAAATTAATTTTGAGAAGAAATATATGCAAGCTATTAGAATTGTTGATGGATGAGGAAGAAAAAAAAAATTATCATTCAGGGTTATTTAAATGACACATGTTTTAATAGGATGAGCAATGAGATAATTTATTATGATTTTGGATTAGGAGATGGAAGAGCCTATATTTAATTTTTTAAGCAGCTTGAGATGTTGACTTGTCAAGATTTACTTTAAGAAATGAGAGTGTAGTTTATTTATGTTCAAGCATGAAGTCATTAAATCATAAATAGAATTTTTTTACTCTGAATGAAGGAATTTTCTGTTTTTTTTTGCAAGGATCATAAGGTAATTTAGAAGAAGGTTTGACCATTAGTAATTATAGATATATAACTAAGAAGCATAAAGGAAATAATGAGAAGATGTAATTGCCTTGGAATAAGATGGTGGAATTTGAATTATAAAAAATTACTTATAATTCAAAATATATTTGAAATGGAGGCAAGTTGTATTTCTTTAGCCAAAATGAATATAGCATAAGAAGACATTTCTATCAAGAGTTACTTCAAGAAATGAGAGTGTAATTTATTTATGCTCAAATATGAAGTCATCAAATCACAAATAGACTTCCTTTTACTTTGAATGAAGGAAAAATTTTTTGCGAGGATTATAAGATGATTTTAGAAGAAGGTTTGATCACACATCTTAAAATAGTAAATATATATATGTAACTGAGAAGCATAATGAAAATAATGAAAAGATGTAATTGCCTTGGAATAAGATGCTGAATTAGAATTATTTAAAATTCCTTATCATTCAAAATATATTAATAATGGAGTTAAGTTGTATTTCTTTAGCCAAAATGAATATAGCATAAAACGATATTTCTTTGAAGAAGGTTGTTGTAGAAGTGTTAGCAGTTTGATAGATTCAACAATAGTAAAGAGATTTGGTGGTAGGCTGAATGGATACCAGAGCTCTAAAGAAATGCCCAATGAGGTTCATTAGTGATAAAAAAAACAAAAAAGGAGGTTTTGCAAAGTGGGTAGTGAGTTAAATAAAATTTATGAACTTTTGATGGTTTGCTATGTATAATAGGTTTGCTATTGATGAAAAATATGTATAAAGTAGTAGATAAAAAATAATAAAGATTTGAAATTTTGATCAAGATAGGTCTATTAGAGTAAAATGTAATAAGGTTTTAGTTAAAGATGCTCGTTTGAGAAATATATTCAATGGGAGTTTTAAGAAAAAAATATTTTGGAAGATTATGATGAACAGAGTAATGAAGGCCAAGCAAAAATTATTAACTTTTGATGTTTTGTAATATATAATAGTTTTGCTACCAAGTAAAAATATGTATAAAATAGCAAAGACAAAATAATAGAGATATGAGAATTTTTATCAATCTAGTTCTAATAAGATTTTGGTTAAAGATGATGAACTCAAGTCAAAATGGAAATACTCATTTGATAAATTTATTGAATTGGAGTTATAAGAAAAAGCATATTTTGGAAGAGTATAATGGACAAAATAGTAAGTTTACTTTAGTTTAATCTAAAAGAGTGAAATAGAGTCAACCTTAAAGAATATGCACGAAAGTAAAAATTTTGGTTATGGATTTCTCTTTTGAGATTTCGAGAGTTATGGTGATATTATTATGATTTATTTAAAAATTCTTTTAAATGAAATTTATTATCTATTAGGGACTGTTATAATTTTTATAAAAGCGGTTGTGGAGAAGTTAAATTTTATTTTTGAAAGCTGTTTTGAGTGCTGTTATTTTTTTAAACTATAGTTTTTTCACAAGCACCACACACTAGCCAATCTGATTGCAGAAAACAACTTAACAACATAGAAATTTAAAAAATTAACTAGAAAATATTTGCCAAACTGAGGTATGACGTCGATTTGAAAAGTAGAGCATTGAGAAAGCTGCTTTAAACTCTAAGAGGTGTCAAATGAGTTTATGCGACGAGAGAATATTATGAATGCTTAACTGTTATTTTCATATAAGTATAATTATGCTAGTTGTATTCTACAGATGCCAGCCTTGCCCAACAAAATATGGCGTTGAGAGCTAAGTTGAGCTTGTTGGAAATAAGAATATTAAATTGGATGCATGGCTAAATTTATTAGGATGAATCTAATAATGATTATATTAATGGAATGATTGGAGTAGTATCTATTAAAGATTAGATTAATGATAATAAATTATGTGCTTTCGACATGCTTAATAAAAGAAGAAACTGCATCTATAAGATGGTTAGATGGAATTATGGTCAAATTATTGTGAAAGAAAGGAGGTAGTCTTAAGTTAGAATGGATGGATGTTATTAGAAAGATTTGTGAAGAATAGATCCAACAAATCTTATGGTTCTCAGTGCAAATGATTAAATGAATTGATTCATTAAGTTGACTGATAAAGCTAATGATCATATTATAAATCTTTTGAATATATGGCCGACTTGATTACCGGGGCGATAAGTAAGCATGCAAATCCATATTATAAACTCAAGCCAGCAAATTTGAATAAAGTCAAAACTCAACTTATTACCAGTGCAGTGCATATTTTTTTAAGTAAATAAATAGCTGTGTTTTAAAATAAAGACATGCAATGTGGCAATGAATGTATCAAATATTGAGATTTTGTTTCACATATTTCCATCTGAATTATTTTTCATGAAATCTCTTACACGTATAATTGTGGTTGGATTCATTTTTCTTGTTAGAGCATGCTGTTTAAATCTCGGCTCTGATATTGTAAAATAATTAATGTTGACGAGGTTGTATTTTCCTGAGATTTGGTTTCCACAGATCTTAGGTCTTAACTTATTCATTGTAGTTGCATCTTTCCAATATATATATATATATATATATACATATATGTACATATATTTGTTTCAGATGAAGAAGAGTTTGAACCAGAAGTGCCTGCGATTAAAAAAGAACAACCTAAAGGATTGTGGGATGATGAGGATGTAGATGAAGAAGATGTAAAAGAATCATGGGAAGATGAAGATGATACCACAAAGGTGAGTTTATCCTTAGTTTGTCATCCTCTTCATTTATAACGATAAAAAGAGGGCTTTTAAGGTTACTTTAAGTTAGCACCAGCTTCATCTATAACGATAAAAAGATGGCTTTTAAGGTTAATTTTAAGTTTAGATGCAATTTAGCTTAAAAGAAGGGCATACCCGGTTTAGATGCATGCTTAGTTTGGTGGTACCAAATTGGTTTATCTTGCGCTTCTACCGGTATTTGCCTTTGTTTTTCTTCCTTTTTTAACTGAACTATATTTATAAACAGGCTCTCTGAGAATATTTTCGGGAAAGCACCGTGCACTTTGTGCATAGGTTGCTGTTCTGAAGCAAGGATTAAAACATCTCCACTTTGGCAGTTGGAGATCTAATTTATCTTTGATTTTTATCGTTCTTGCCCAGGCACTAAAGAAAGAATCGGTTGCAGAGAAAAAACCTGCACCAAAAACAGCCAAGGATGCAGGCAAGAAAGTAAAGTTGCCCGATTCTAAGACAGATAGTGAAACTGATGTTCTTGCTGATCCTGTCGCGGAGAAACTTCGTCAACAAAGGTAAATCTCGGTCCTGTTATGCACTGTTAGCTTATCATATTTTATAATACTATATTTCCCTCATCAGACTTGTAGAGGAGGCTGATTACAAGTCAACAACGGAGTTGTTTGCAAGAAAGGGCAACGAAAAATCTCTTGATAACTTTATCCCCAAGTCAGAGAATGATTTTATGGAGTATGCAGAGCTACTCTCTCATAAAATTCGTGCTTATGAGGTACTTGTACTTTTTCTCTGAATCCCATCAAATATCATACAGAAACTTCTCAAGCAGGCTTTGTGATGATGAACTCAACCCGTTGCCATAATTCATCAGAAAAGCTATCATTATATTGGGCTATTGAAAGCAGTCATGAGGCTTTCCATGACCTCACTGAAGGCAGCAGATGCTAAGGAGATAGCATCCTCTGTAGCAGCTATAGCAAATGAGAAACTTAAAGTCGAGAAAGAAGCCAATGTTGGAAAGAAGAAACAAGGTAAGAATTTATTGGAATTTATGTAATCAGAAAAGTGTCAAAATAGTTCTCCAACTCTTTGCAGGGCGTCATTTTAGTCTAACAGTTCGTACTAGTGCCAATTTAGTTCCCAAATTCTTTTAATATGAGCTGAAATAGTGGGCACGAGTACTCACTCTTTCAGCCCCAATTTAAAGATTCTCAGACTTTTGATACTTTACTAATGTTATATGGTAGTCATTGATTTTGTATGCTTTTAATTATCTTGCAGGAGCAAAGAAGAAGCAGCTGCATGTGGATAAGCCAGACGATGATATGATTTCATCAACATACGATGATGCAGCAGAGGATTATGACTTCATGTAATATGCAGAATTGGAAAATAGTGTATTGTTGTGGCATGCCTTTGCAAACTCTTAAGAAATTAGAGAGCAGCGGTAGTTCTTTATCTGAGGATCTGTGTGAGTAGTAGATCTCAGTTGTTTTTTCTTTGATATCTCCAATCCATTGAGATTTAATTCATCATTTTGACCAATAAGGTATAGCAGTGTATTGAGATTGGCTGCTGTCTGGAAGCCTTTCTGTGGGAAGTCAGATGTTTAAAGTATTATACAATTGAGTTTATACTAGTGTGTTATATTGAGATATTTTATGCAGCGTTTGAGCTGTTTTTCTCTTTGGAGAAGTTTTATATCTAGTAATACCTTGTGTCTGTTTCAGTTTCTTGTGCTAAAATGATTTTCAACTTGTAATTATACCACACTTACCATCAATATAGTGGTTGAATGTTCAAACACAGGTTGTTGCCTACCAAAGTCGAACTCATTCACTAATAAGATTATTTGTGAATTAAATTGGAGATGCAAATATTAAACTTTATGGGATTCAAACATAAGTTGTTGGCCTCATAGAAAGTATTGAGAGTATTAAGAAGGCCTTTTATGGATATTAAGTTGGCTTTTCTAATGACTCAGATTATTAACATGTTTGTTCATTGCCTACCAAGACAAAGTTGTTAGTGCTTTAATATTATGGTTCCATAAGCTTTTAGATGATATCCTTAATGATAGTAAAAGTATATACTGAGAGAGGGAAACCTTGTCTCAAGTCTAAAAATGAGCAAAAATAGCCTTTAAGATCATTATTAATGATACTTGAGAAGTGTACGTGTGTGGTGCAATATTTGATCCTTCCTATCAAAAAAGGAGTGAATGATTAACTATAACAAAAACTTTTGTATGATTAATTTTGGAGTGTTGTTTTGGATGACAGGAAGAGTTAAATCCGTGTAGAAGCTCATTAGTTGATTAACTATAACAAAAACTTGTGTGTGATGGATAATGTTTAAAAGGTGTTTGATTTTGTAAGCAATTAGTTGAGATATTTTGGTTAATAATGCTCAAAGAGAGAATGATATGTAGTCATTTAGATATTCAGAATGTAATGCAGTACTGTAATGTTTGACATAATTAGGCGGTTTGGTGGCAGCAAAAAATGCCTAATAGCTAGTATACAAGAAGAATTGGTCATTGAAAAAGTATTTTTAAAAAATTTAGAGAGAAAATTATCTAGGCTAAGAGTTTTCTGGGAGACAATATTTAAGAGACATTTTATGTCAACATTAATAAACTTCTAATAAGGGAGTCACACTCAAGTGTGTTAAGCATGTTACCAATGAGAATCTTACAATGTGAGGAAAAGATAGATGTGCTAAGGCATATAAGTAGAGAGCAGAAAAGATCACTTATCTTGTAATGTCATCATCTGTATTGATGCAAGAGTTAGGCCCATTTGGGGCAGCTTAAAGCAACGGGCAACATTTTCAAAATGACGTCCTTTTTATTTTTCACGTTTTCATCGTTCTTTCGATTTTGGTAATATTGTCCCCCGCAGGATAACTTTTATGCATAAGATTTACGATCAAATGATTGTAAAAGTTGAAATTGTTTAGTCTATTAATTTTAAGGTTACCGAAGTGAATAAAGAATAATTTTGTTCTTATATTGGTTGGTTAAAAATTCAATTTTTGAACTGAGGAGAATTGGCATTGTTTTATGGAGAATAATGGAATTATATGGGATGTATGTAAATGCCCGTAATTTTAAAAGATTTGTACTTCTTGTTGTGCCATGTTTCCTGGCAAGTAGAATGATAGAATGTTTTATATTTTTACTTGCTAGTCTTTGTAATCATATTACTTGTTCATGCTTCATTTGATTTTTATTGTTAGGTTGATTTGTATGGTGATATGAGATTAGGTTTGTTTAGGATCTTGGATGCTTATGTGTGTTTATACATGAAGGGAATCATCAAAAGGCAGTATGTTTTTTTTTTTTATCATCCATAATTTTTTACTTAAATATCACTAATTTCTTATGTATTTATATGTCTACCACCTAAAGTGCCTATTTTTCTTTTGGGGCATTGTGTTATGAAAAAAAAAATTTTTATGCTAATCAGTTTGTCTAACAGCACGCAATGAGTAAAACTAAGGAGGCTGGATCATCGATTATGTGGAATAGAGAGGTAACTAGTATATTTTGTGATCTTTCTCTAAGTGAGGTCAAACTGGGTAATAGACCAACCACCTATTTTAACAAAGAAAAGTGACAAAATTTGATAATTAAATTCAAGGAACTGGCTGGAAGAGATTACAATGGGAAGAAATTCAAGAACAAGTGAGATCAATAAAAGAAGAATTGGAAAATATGAAAAAAACTCAAAAGGAAATCAACGAGATTGAGTTGGTATCCAGAACAAGAGCAGAATTGTCATTTATCCAGAAGCAGTTGTTTTCCAAACACACAAACTAAACAGTCATTTATCAAGATAAGCTGTTGATCAGCATATTATCAAGATAAGCTACTTATCTGGATAAATTACAGCTGCCCCAAATAGACCCTTAGTTGATTACAAATCCATGATGTAGTTATCACTGCACATAAATTTGATTTTTTACTACGAATTTTAAATCATCACCCTCTTTTAAAAGATAGGCATATTTAGCACTTTTTTAGCCCATTTGTTTTCATAAATGACAACTTCAATCAAATTATTTTGGTTGGAATTAGCTTTAGATAAAGGTTCATTGTAGTTGGTGATGTAGTTGATGGAATTCTAATTGGAGATTTTAAGGACAGATTTAAAATTTTTAATTCATTGTAAATAGCAAATGCTGGGTCACTTACAACTAGTATCCTTCAGGCACTGGAAAGAACGTTGAGAATTTAAGGAAATGAGCTCCAATAACACTTATAGACAAATATACAGTTAGGTTTGAAGTTAAACAGACTAGAATAGAAGAATAATCAAATTTTGGAGGCTTTAGAAGTCTGAAGTAGGACAAGGGGAACAAATTTAGCCGACTATCATTATTAGAATTCTGTGTCGAGCAAGCATCTAATAAGGTTATAATAAAATGATAGTGTTTGAAAGAAAAAAAATAACATAGATTTAAAATGAAAGCATTAATATTGGAGAATTTACAAGGTAAGGGAGAAGTGTCACACTCCTTATCCTTAAGATTTTGAACGCAATTGATGCCAGCCATAAGGAGCCACAACTCATTTGTGTTAGAAGTTAGGGCATTGATAGAATTTCATGAATCTTTCCTTTTAATATCACAATTATAGACATAAATAAATTTAACAAGAAAATTGATAGTAGAGGAGAAGCTCATAATTCCATGAATATATTCAGCATGAGCTTCCAATACAAGGAATGATATGCATGTTCCATTTAATTCACATGCAACCATTAGAAGCAATATATAAATTATTAATGTTGTCCTCATTATGAAAGACATTAAAATATATACAGGTAAAGGGGTCAAAGATAATAGAGGTGGAGAGTTTGATTTGAATAAAGTAATGATAGTCAATTTTGTGGCCGTTAATTAATTTTCTACAGTTAGCTGTGAGCATTTTAAGCTGCTATGTAAGGAAAAATATAGCTAGAGAAAAACAACCCCCATTTTATCTAGATTTCTTTTACCTTGAAAATATTTAGTTATGAATAAGTGGAGGGAAGAGTATCAGAAGTAGAGAGCATCATTGGGCTTGAGAAATTGTTGTGAGTAGAATGGAGACTCAACAATCTCGAGAGGGTAGTAGAGTTCATGATTTAAATTGGAAGTGGTGTGGTCATCAACATCCATGGTAGTTGATCCATTAGCAAAAGACTTGATATCAGGAGTAGAGAATGCAGTCTTTAGTTGGGTAATGAGAAAACTAAATTTTGGTTTGTCGAGGCTTCTCGAGATGGGAAACCAACCCCTTTTCGACTGTGACTTCTGCCTCATTGGGTAAGGACTAAAGTGAGTGATTTGTAGCGGAGAGATTTAGTGCAAGAGTAGAATCACGAGCAAAGATATTACATGATTTGGCGAAGAAAGCTTCTATTCATAAATTACAAGCTGATGCACATCTTTGCCCTTAATCAAGATGGAAATGTATTCTATAAGTTTGGTTTCGATTGTGATTGTATACTAACCTGATAAAGTTAGCCTAGTACATTTGGCAATGAATAAATCTACAGTCAAAGAAACCTCAACCTTGCTATTTTGAAAATGCTTGTTTCCATCCAACAACATAGAAAGATTTGAAAATATAACTCAAATGAGGATTTTCTTGAAATCTTCTTTAGTAGGCTTAAAATCAATGGTCCATTTCTTGAAAATAATTTGTCAATCACTGATAAATTATGAACCACCTACAATAAACATCTATGGATCTGTAGCATAGTTAGCTTTTAAGGAAAAAAAAACTACTGAGCAAAGGAGATGAGAATTATAATACCTCAGACTCCAAATCTTGTTAATAGCTTGCAGTAGATTATCATATAAAATTCTTTTTACTAACTGCATAATCAACAAAGGAAATAATATATTGCATGGATCCCTCGTCAATCTCATCATCAGGGAAAGATCTAATTTTCATTGCAGAGCATCTAGGTGAGGTTGAAACTTGTAGAGTCAGGGAATTGGATGATAGAAGGCCCTTCTAGTTCATAACAAGCCATCCAAGAATGAAAGCAACATTAGTGGAAGGTAGATGATTCCATGGAAGGTTGAGCAAAGGACATTCATCCTTGTATTATAATACCTCATAGACTCCAAATCTTGTTAATAGCTTGCAGTAGATTATCATATAAAATTCTTTTTACTAACTGCATAATCAACAAAGGAAATAATATATTGCATGGATCCCTCGTCAATCTCATCATCAGGGAAAGATCTAATTTTCATTGCAGAGCATCTAGGTGAGGTTGAAACTTGTAGAGTCAGGGAATTGGATGATAGAAGGCCCTTCTAGTTCATAACAAGCCATCCAAGAATGAAAGCAACATTAGTGGAAGGTAGATGATTCCATGGAAGGTTGAGCAAAGGACATTCATCCTTGTATTATGAGCAAAGGAAAGAGGAAACTCTATTTTTTCTCAGCAGTAGAGAAAATTGTGTTAAGTTCACTTCCGATTTATGTTACAGTTACTTTTTAGGTGCTCAAAATAGAAGACATGTTGTAATACATCCAAGGGATTAAAAATTGCTAAAAAATATTTAATATCGTTAATACTTATGATTATACAATCATTAACACATTAGGAACTAAATGTAAATGCATTTAAAGTCAATATAGTTATTTTATTTAATTCACTTTGGGGATATCAATTAAAATTATAGCATCATTAATTTCACAATTAAAGAAATGAAGGATCTGTTTCAATGATATTGGCAGTAAATAAAAATTTTATTTTATCAAGCATAAATGTCGATGCATTTTGAATTGAAAATCTTAGGAATAAAAAATAAACCATCTTCGTCCTAACTTGCCGACTTATAGTCACTAAATAAATATTTATAAGATCAATTGAATGTCTTAAAAAATGATCTAACTAGAGTTCAAATGAATTCTGATCAAACACTGAAAACAAAATAAAAAAATAAAAATATTAATTAGAAAATTAAATGATCTTTAAATTTTGTATGTTTATAATCAAATTATCTTAACGAGATGAATCCATTGAGCTCAAGATCACTTAATTTAATATTTTAAAGGCTCTTAAATACTCACAAAATATCTTAAAATTAAGGGACCACCGTAGTTCACAAAACTAGATTGGACTTGGAACTCGAAGAAGAAGACATTCAAGATTCATGTCTTTACAACAATAACAACAAAGCCTTAATCCCACTACGTGAATGCTTTTTCTCCATTGCGTCCTATTTAGTGTCATATTTTCATTTAGTTCTAATAAATTAAGATCATTTTTTATACAATAAGCCCAAGTCTTTTTGGTCTACCTCTGTCTTTCTTAACATAAGTCGAAGCTGAAACACCTACTCTCCTAATCAGATCATCAGATGGTCGACGCTTAATGTGACCAAACCATCTAAGACGACTTTCTTTAATTTTGTCTGTCACAAGAGCTACACAGAGCTACACCATGTCTGTCACAAGAGCTACACCAACCCTATCACGAATATAATCATTTAAGTGTAAGTCTTTAAGTGTAAAGTCACTCATCCACCTAATCATTCTCATCTCGGCAACACTTAATTGAGTATTACGCTTCTCCTTTAAAGGCCAACATTCAACGCCATAAAGCATTGCAGGTCTCACTACCGTCTTATAGAATTTTCCTTTCAATCTAAGCGATACTTTTCTATCACACAAAAGGCCCGAAGCATTCCTTCACTTCAAACAACCAATTTGAATTCTACTATTAACATCCTCATATATATCACCATCGCTTTGAACAACATAACCGAGATATCTAAATCGTTCACACCTTTTAATAATTTGATCACCCAAAGCTAGAGCTACTACACTAGAGCTACTACCACTAAAATTACATTTTCATGTATTCAGTTTTAGTTCAACTCAAATGAAGGCCTTCAGACTCCAATGTAGACCAGACTCCAATGTAGACCTTCAGACTCCAATGTAGACCTCAATAATTCAAGTTTTTCTCGAGCTTTTTTTGTCGTCTTATCCACGAGAAAAATATCATCAGCAAAAAGCATACACCAAGATTCATATCTTTAACTAGAGTTAAATCGAATGACATAATATATACTAAATTTATTTAAATATGACTTAAATGTTATAATAATAATATAAATATGTGCAAAATATTTGATAAAAAATAAGCAAAGCTATATTATAAAATATAAAACATACATGCAAATAAATTCTATAATTTTAAATTTAAACATTTCGAACATTCTAACCTAATTCACAACCATAAGAAAAAAACAAATAATTCTTTGACATCTATTGTTTTCTTCCAAGACTTGCATGTTTTAGAAGTGAAATATAGATGAGATAAAATTAATATCAATTAAAAAAATATAATGCAAGCAAGGCAAGTTAAAGCGATTTATTATTTGAGAACAATATGCATAAAAAGAATGAAGATACACAAAATCACAATTCAACAGATAAGTTCTTGTGAGTTATGAATCAACATATTACAATTTTCAACTCTAACATCATCATAATCATCTTACTCTAATCAAATACATAAAATAAATTTTTAATACATAAGGATTGGTTTGTTCCTACATATATGGCCCAGTAACTTATTATCTTACCTAAATTATATATTCAAATATGGTTAGATAATACTTACAAGTTAATGCTAGGCTCTTAAATAGTTAGAATTACTTCATCTTCATATGCATTTTTTTTTATCCCATTCATAAAAACATATGAATTGGGTGGTATGCAAGTAAATGCCCGAACTATAAATAAAATAAAAAATAAAATGAAATTATCGTTAGCAAAACAATGAGCTGAAATTACACCAGCTAACCAAAGAACAAACTAATTACCTATGTGCCCCAAGCAACAATAAGATTTAATTGAGATCATACAGTTTATAGATCTAACAGTCATAACAACAACATTTGAAAAATTAAACTGCAAAATAACTTCTAAAATAACTACAACAAACCAAAGGCACGCTGAAGCAATTGGACAGACCAAGACAAATAAAAGGATAACATGTATAGATGGTAATATTTGCATTACATAAAAATTAAAATGAAATATAAATATTAACACGCTGAGATCCATTTCAAATATTTTCAAAAAAGAACTAACGACCTACAAAACGTCAAAATAAAATAATACAAAACTGGTGCACAGGAACAGTAAGCACAAGCACAAAAGGTGATAATACTTGAGCAGGGGAGTTCCGCAAAGGGGCTCACTGGTAAACAACAGGAGAAAAATTCATCTTGTCGGCCTATTCCAAGTCGTCTCGGAGGTGGTGAGATTTCCATAATAAAGTTTCTTTGTAGAATCATCCCAGTAAGCCTGAACGAGATAGTTAAAATAAATAATAAAACAGATATAAATATTCATAAAAGAAAATGAAGAGCTCGGTAAAAGTTAAGGAAATGCAATTTATATTTTAAGGAAAATTATAGGTAGAGAAAGAACAAATGAGTTGAAAAGGATTGTGCAGAGTACAAAATTAAAAGTTTTGGACATTATGGGTTTCAGCATAAACAAACCTGCCATCCTGAAGGAAGATCTTTTGAGAGTTCAATGAGATCAGGCTGTTTTTTCTCTTTATCCACCACCGTTGCGGTTGATGTCTGAGCATCTTCAGCCCTTGCTCTAGCAGTTCTACGTTTCACTCTTTCTCGCCTGTTTCATGGAGGAAACAAGCCAATCACTGCTCATAATCAAGATGGATCAAACATGATAAAAAAAGAGATCTAAATGCCTTTTCTCTTTTAAATTACTGTTGAAGTTAACTAGCATGCTATTTGGCAAGTCAAAGAAGAAATGATGAACATGTGAAAACTCACTAATCAAATCACCATGTAATTGATGTTTTCAATTCGTGGTTTCATGGGCTAGATATACTCCAAAGATGGAGTAGACCCGAAGAACATCTCTCTCTTGGCAGGCTACTACCTTCCTAATAGCAGGACAGTCAAAGCTAACATCTTTGTGCATATAGCCTCCATTGCGGCTTCTGTTCTCTCTACAGTACGCCAAATCGAAAGTAGAGGAGGATATGCATTTTGGATTTATGAAAGAATTGGTTTCCCAGTTTCACGATTGTTTTCACATGCCACAGCTTACTGCTTAGCTCCTGCGCTAGAAGGTTATTTAAAAAACTTCAATGACGTTTACTTGCTCTTCCATTCCCTGCCACATAAATTCCAGGGATTTTTTCCATTCAGAATTTGTGTGAAAGTAGGTTTTTAGGCTCACCCAGACACTGTCAAAGAAACTGCAGTGACGGCAATGGCATGGTAGGAATTTATAGCTCAAAAATGGGATATCCTGTGAGCAGGGGAAATAGTAGCCTGTCACCGAAGATGCGTACTTAAGATGAGCACCATCGGGAGTGTATCGAGTCCATTAAGATAGAAGTTGAAAATGTCCGATTACAGAGTGATTTGGTGCTTTTTTGGGTTGCATTGGTGCACGTTACCGCATATAAATAACATAGTTAAGATACCAATTTAGAAATCGCATTTACCAAAATTCTAATATAAAAATTGACTTAACCAAGAGATACCAGCAAGTATAACATCACTTATGTTTTCACAGGATTACATTTTCTAAAATATAAGGAATTGCATTCAACCATAATGTTTGCATACTAGTTATTAAAGTTCATTAAGTGTCCATACGCAAGGCATTTTCCTAAATAAAAAAAAGTGTCCATGCATAAGGCCCTCATAACCATTTTAAAGAAAAAAAAAAAGAAAAGCTTACCAGTCACCACCCAAAGGAACAAAATTTGCATTATCTTGGGCTTCCCCGGTGGCAATCTGCCGAGCATGCCATCCCTAAATTGACAAAACCATTAATCACTAATAAAATTAAGAGTTATTAGTACAGACTAGGCATACAAAAATTTGATAGTACAGACCTCTATCTCTTTCTGACGTTTCTTTTCCAGAATCTCAAGAGCACTCTCAGGTTCTTCCTCCTCATGCAGCTCCTCTTTTGCAGCCTTCCACTACAAAGAGAATGGTAATCAGGGGTGCAGTTCAGGCATTGCAACCACTATTTCTCATATATGAATATAATAGTGTTACCAAAAAAGAACCTAACATATGAGCCCAAACAACTTAAAACACTACTCTCAGCGTACAAATATAACTTACCTTATCCACAAGACTGGAAACTTTCTTATTAGACCTCAGAGTTGGAGCAACAGCAACAGTACGCTTCTTGCTGCGCACAACTGAAAATGATTAAAAAGGAAATGGTCATATTTAGAAATAAATGGGGCTTTACAAGCATCATTCAAGGAGAATCCTTCAAGCAATCTACATAATCCACTAGGTAGCTTTTTTCATCACAGTACGAAAATGGGTACATTTAAAATTGCATATTTAAAAAACAACAAAATTGTCAAGAATAATAAAAGCTGCACCTTTCGATTGATTCTTGGAAACAACTGGAGGTTGAGGATCTAAACTGCTATCATTTCCAGATGAAGCTCCTAAAGCTCGAACAGTTGATAGGCTGGATGAAGCCTGTAAAGTGCTTAATTGAGGCTCCTTACTTACCTTGGGCAGATAATTTCCTGGAGAATCCAAATGAAGATCGACAACTGAAGAATAAACACTAACAGGAGCAAAATCCTGATAATTAACAGCACTGGATTCCACATAGAATGCAGAGGGTTCTTTGCTACTTAAAACGGTTCCAGAAGAAATAGACACATTTGCGACATCATAGTATGTCGCAGACCCAACTGCCGCAACACAAGAAGACAATTCTGATGAAGCACTAGCTAGAGGTTCGTAGTAAGCTGGTAGGTCTGATTCGCTGAACTGACTGCCTCCAGCAATACCATAGTAGTTTCCATTAGAGACTTCAGCCACTGAGGAGGAATAATAACCATATGCTGGAATGTGGTATCCCACATTACATTGATCTGGAAATGGATAGATCATTGTCTCAGTATTGGATGAAGGAAATGGTGCAGATGGCTCCTCAGGCGAATTCAATTCACCCTCAGGAGGCGGTGGAGGAGGAATTGGTTCAACATCAGAAGGTGGAGGTGGAATCCATTCCTCTTCTGGAAGAGGTGGCACGATGGATTCATTAGGCAACTGTTCTGAAATACATAGGCAATCAGTATTGGATTTTGGAGGTGACGAAGTCTCTTCATCAATCTCCATTTCAACATCCATATCATCTTCAGCACTATGAACTAATGTAGGTGCAGCAAAAGAAGAATCTGAAATCAGAATGGCATCTGGAACAATCTTTGGTTGATGCTCACTTCCTTGCAGCTGAAGATTAGTTTCTGGAGAAGCCCTTTCGATATCATCATTTTCATTCTTGATCTTGTCAGTTACAAATTCAGTAGAAACAATAAGTTCATGATCCTTCTCAGTAACATCTAAATTTGAAAGTTGTAGAGGAGCCATTTGCCTAGCATTGAAATCACTGAATTCTTCAGTTTGAACAAGATTCGAAGCTTCAATTTTGTTAATTGCAGATTCAATCTGCTTCAATTGTACATCAATATGCCACCAAAAAGGAAGCAAAGATGAACCATATGATGAAAGAGCTCTGCAATCTGATATTCTGATATCAATCTCCTTTTTTATCCCTTCATATCCTTCAAACTGTTGTGCAGACCTAACATCATGCACCTTAAAGTTAAAAAATGGATAAAAAAAAATTAAACAAAAAAAGCAAAAAAGAAAAAGAAAAAGAAAATGAAAAGAAGTAATACCTGTATAACATAGCCAACCTCTGCAGTAAGGCTTCACCATGTTTCATCAGCTGAGAAGCATGAGCATCTTCACTTTCACAGCAACCACTTGGTCTTGGCAAGTTAACATCCGTCTCTTCATTACTCAATGCATGATGCAACTCAATATGCTCTGAGAGGTTTGAATACCCAGATAAATTGCTATAAGATGCGGTAACACTATCAAGGCAATATTGTCCTGTACTTAAACAGCTATCAGATGCCCTTGCGCTTCTCAATTCCATGTTTTCATATCCCTCAGTATCTTTGGAAATGAAATTGCTAGTTTCATGCCCATCAGCACTAAGAACTTGATCACAGATTCCTGTATGTACGTTTTCATTGGTAAAAGTATGAGCTTCAATAGATTTAGCAATGCTTTCTTCGTTAGCAGAACATACACTTCGTTCATCTCTATTTCGTGCCTCAACAGCCAAATCTGCAGGCACCTCCCATGAGGTCTCTCCTGTTGTAGTGTTCCAGTAATAGTATTGATTGCTTTCCTCATGCAACACCAGTTTCCAGTGTTCATTAATATGACCTTTAGCTTGATTCTCAGAAGGCTTGGGTTCACAAGTTTGAGACAATGGCTCAGCTTCACTATGCTCAACATCCACACAAGTATTTTTAATAGCATCACCATCATTTGCCTTCAATTCTTTAGGACTGCCTACTTCTTCCAAGTCTCGTTTACAAATGCTAGCTTCAATAACTTCATACTTGTTATTTCCTAAATTCTCACTTGCTACTGCTTGCTCCTTTTCCTACAAAGGAGGTCCCCAATAAAAAAAGAAAAGCATAGTTGAATAAGTAGAATTTCCACAGTGGAGAAAACTACAGTCTGAAAATACAGAAAGCATATTGCAAGTTGAGTACTTCATTGTATTTGCTAAAGAGGAATGTTTGGTCCAAAAAAATATATATCGAAACTTAGCACATGGGTGCAAATGCATGAAAAACTAAATGACTGTTGCAGCTACGCTGAAGCGTTCAAAAACATCATATACAGAAACACTGAAGCACTACAGCATCAAAAATATATTCGCATCAACACAATACAACGCCATATAGTATACTATATCCATACAATACCATTCTATGATATAACAAATAATTTATTGTATAAAAGATACTATACTTCACTATATATCAGACTATATCATACATGGCTACACAACACTATATAATTAACTATACTATATTATATATTACACTGTAAACAATATAACATAATAATATAATATACCATATGAGCTGTAGCTATAGCATACGATATACCATACAGTAGCTTTTATATACTACATAATATGTAATATGTAATACACTACTACAAAACTATATACTGTATACTATAAAAATATTATACTATATTATGCAAAGTAGTAATCAAGGCAATAGCTTACAACAATAGACCAAAAAAAAAATGTTGCCATTTGAGAAATTAGTTTAGGGCAATTCAATGCACATGCACAAAGCTTATCATATTTTGGTTGACGTGCGTATGATATAAGCATAATAGAATTGAATTTAACGTTTGATAAGCAAACGAGACGAACACAAACAATTTTTGATATTCGATTTGTTAAACGAACCAAACACGAACAATGATGTGTTCGTTCGTGTTTCGAATCGTTATTGTTCAAAATATAAAATAATTTAAAAATAATTATATATTCTAAAAATTTATCATATTTTAAAAAATTAAATTCTATAAATTATAATATATAATAAATTATTAATAATAATATATTAATATACTATATTAATAATATATAATCACGTGCCCCCATCTTCGGTTGTTCGAAACTTCGGATCGACCTCCCCTTCCCCTCTTGCGGTCGGCTCTCCTTCTCCCAAAAACGCGTCGGGTCGGTCTTCGGCAGTTCGGCCTCCCTTCCCCTCTCGAAAGCCGGCCGGCTCTCCTTCTTCTCTCAAAATCACAGAACCCTTTCTCTCGTTGAGAGCTGCTCTCATTCTTCTCTCAAAATCGTGAAGCCCTTTCTCTTGTCGAGAGCTCAGGGTTGGTTGTTTGTGTTCGTTCTAAAAAAGAGAGCCAAGGGGTAAGAAAATAAGGTACATTTTATTTTCTTCTTTAGTCTTGAAGATCTTTACTAGTAGCTACATCTCAGATTTTAGGCCCTATTTTTATTCTTGAAGAGCTTTACTAGGAGCATTATTTATAAATACACATACCTCATAGTTGGGTGATGCACCCATAAATCGACTTAGTGGAAAATAACTTCTCTGCAATATTCCCAAGGTTGGGGGTTGATTAGCACTAGTGAACAACTTACTTTGTCTGGTATGTATCTATAATATTTTCTTACATACCTTTTTTCTTAGCGTGGGTCTGGGTTACTTTGATTATAGATTTGTTTTAAATCATGGCTTGATGCTCCTTGCTTGTTCATATACTCATGATTTGTTCAAGTATTTTTCACTTGAGACTCAAGGTGATTGCTTCTTTCTACATCAATGCCACTGATTTTAGTGAATAAGTGTACCAATTTAAATTTATAATCAGGCTAGCTGATGAAATTTCTTTTAACTTGAGCAACTTTAAATATCACTTTTTAATCATACGTTGTGGTTAAAAATGAGTTATGATGCTTCTTTGTTTGCTTTGAGATCAGTTAGACAGTATAAAATCACCCTTTTCTTTTATGCTATGGTAAAAAAAATGAAGTATTTTTTGCTTACTTTGCACTCTAGTGTGCATATATTATGGACATTTTTACCATTTTCAGTATAGAAATACACATTCTGTTTGGACTCCTACTTGGACACTTGTTCTTTCTGTTTACATGTTTGGAATTTTGACGCACTCGCTCTCATTTCTCTGCTATAAGATTCCTTCCTAAATTTGCGTCCTTTTGTTTTTAATCCATGAAGTTGGGCTAATTTTTTATGATTTTAAGTTATTTAGGGCCTATTTTATGGGTATGCCTATCACTTTAGCTTTAATGAGTACGTTTTTTTTTGTAAGAAAGCATGTTAAGTGGAAGTAAACCTTTACTATAATTTATTTTATTTAAATTGGTTTTATTGATATGATTTATTATAGCTAACTTTTACATTAGTCTCGGGTTGAGCTCTTGGCAAAAAAAAGTACGAGGAAAAGTATAAGCAGACTGGTGATGTTGCTTCTAAGTTGAGTCTTGATCAGGCTACCTTACGGAATATTCAGGTAGCCCATACTGCCAACACGTACAAGGCAGTTATTATTCAAGTTTTTTTTTTGTCATAATCTTGGCTTGCTTTCTCGATTCAATTCATATTTCCTTAGGAGGGAAAAATGGAGTTATATAAAGCAATTGTGAAAATGGAAGAAGGTAAAATTTCAGATGGTGTACTTCAGGCAAGCAGATGAGATGTTGATGAGACTGAAACCTAATTGCAATTTTTTGCTCTACAAATTTCCAGGAACGTGCTAAGAAAGTTCAAAATGATCCTAATGAACTGGTGAAAGCTTTGAATGAGAGGTGCAAGGATAATGGGTTACGTTCGAAGCCCACTTCACTAGTTGAACTTCCCTTTGGTGTGATTCGATTTAGAGTTAGATTGATTTTCATTGACATGAGAGATCTAATTGGTGTTATGAAATTATTTTTGTTAATGAAGATTTCATACAAACCACCTAATTCTTATCTATTGACATATCTAACACTTGAACTTTAATTTTTTTATGTTTATAGCACTTAACCTATGCATGAAACAGTGGTAATTTTGATGTGCTATGAAAGATTTGAATGTTTTAAAGGTAAAATGTAAAGTGTAGGTGTTAATTATATTAATTCATAGGAATTGGGTGGTATGTATCATGTATGCAATTGCCCCTATTATCATATATACAGATTGACTTGGAAAATTTTTTTTTCCTTTTTATTTTTGTAAATTTTCTCGCTACTTAACTTTCTGATGCTGAAATTCATGCAATTCTCAATTGTGATTAAATTTGACAGGACTAATGGTTATTTGCACTTTGGATCATATTAAAGAGTCCTTTTTTTAACTTTGCAGTCCATTCTGACATGTAACGCTGTGATTCGAGTTTTCTACAAATTCATAGCAAAGTATTGAATTTAAATATCAACTTTTCAACCATATCAGGATCAATGGAATTAAATTGAGAATGGGAGATTTACCATCTGTTATCTTTCCATGTCTGCATTAGAAAATGAAGGAAAGTTGGCTGATGGCTTGAAAATTTTTATGTAAGAGATTATTTGCTTGAATATTTGGATGTAAGGACTAATGATCAAGGGATGTTTTTGTTGGAGTTCTAATTCAGTTTCAAATGTTATTTATTGTTTTTGGTAATTTGAGAATTAATATTTAAATTGTTGTCTATTTAACAATTCAAAAATTAGAAACAAAATTGAATAATTTTGAACATTTTGAACATTTCGAACGATGCAAACAGTTCGAGCGATTCAAACGGTTCGAACAATCCGAACTAATTTTGAACAAATCGAATCGAACACGAACAGACCCTTCACGAACAATTTCGAACACGAGCCTATTTCAAACAAATTATATTTCAAATGAACCGAACACGAACACGAGCACTGTTTGTTCGTGTTCGGTTCGTTTACACCCCTAATAACAACTAACAGGACGCTGGTGAAATGATTTGTTCGCCTTAATGCTAAAAAGAGGTCTAGTCATGAATGGCAAATAAAAAATCTTACAAGAAACAAACCGACTCTTAAAAAACAATGAAAAATAGAAGGGATCAACTAGTTTCCTTTCACTCAAGATTAGAAAAAGATTGTCGTTCATGATCTATTTAAATGATTTAGTATGTATTTATGCCATAAGAAATAACAAAAAAATGGTGCAAATTTAGTTCACAATTTAACGCACCTTAGCCATTCAAATATGGTGTCGAGTGCCATAACCACGGTTTGGGTGCTTACCTTCCAATGTATAAGGCAATGCATATGAACCTTGGGTAAGATTAGCTTCAATTTTACTTAATTTTTTTGAAAATTAATTTTCTCAATCTGCCCTTCACTTTTTTGTTAATAACTTCCAATTATCACCATCTCACAAGCTTAAACTAACAAAATCTATGCTCTAAAATCCTATCCAATACTCTCCACTTATCATCTGATAAAACCACAATTCAATTTTCCCTCATCTACTTAAAATAATTTAAGATTATTGTTACTAGCAAATGAAATAATTATATCATCATAGACAACAGCTATCAAGTCAGAAGTTGTTAAGCACAACTAGCCTAAAAATCAAGGATATAGTGCTTGCATAAATCACACTCTAATAGCTGGATTTCAGTTCCAAATCATCACAATCAAAAACCTTACCCCAAAATTTTCTGGTTAATTTTGAACTAACAAAAAACATGAGCCATATCTGAATATCAAGTGTCAACTCATGATGCTTCATTTTTCATATATTTATGTTGAGTGCCATATGAGATGTTAATTCTACACAATGTAAATCATAGTAAACAAATTATATCCATGTCATATTAGGTCAGCTGCACCCTTCTCACTCCTCCAACTAAATTTACTTAATCATTTAATTACGAATTTCTTCTCTTTATTATACATCTTCAAACCAGCTAATTATGTTTTCACTATCTTACCTTCAATATAAAATACTATCATAATCTCTCAAATATATTAATTCCTCGATATATTCTTCCTAGTTTTGTCGCACATTCATTTTAGCATTCTCATTTTCATCACATAACTTAGCAATCAATGATTTTTTTATTATTCAATTATCAACTGCATACAGAATATCCAAATAATTACAATTTTACAAAATTTACTTTCAAATCTCAATGATATTCTCTTGATGCATAATAATCCATATATCATTCTCCATTTTAACAACATAGCCTTGCATCTAGAACTTATATACTAATATGGATCCCCGTTATTTTATATAACGGATACAAAGAAGTTATACTTATTACACCTAAATATCACTCCATTTTAAATAATATTATCAGATAATTGATAAATGCAACTAAAATAACAAAAAATGATGTATGGATTTTTTTAAGACATTAAAGATAAAATAATAGCCAATAGAATTACTTCATTTGATTTTTAAAAAAAAATATTTGGTAAGAAAATACCTTACCAGTTTTTAGAGAAATGGACATTGGGCACATAGCTAAAAATATAAACTTATAGCTTAAGGTATTTAATTCTGCAAACAAGTATTCATGGCTACAATATTAGTACAGGAAATATCTCACTCAACCTAAACATATATTATGAGGAAGGTATAACTTGCAGTTTCAGAGTAGCCTTTGGCTAATGAAGAAGCGGATTTATTACTCTGAGTTTGAAATAAAAGCAGAAAATTCAAACAAAAGACGTAAGATTGCATCCAAGTGTGTCGGTTCAAATAGATAGTTTAGATTCAATAAGACAGGTATACTAAGAATCAAAATTGCTGGGGCTCGTATAATTTTTTTTTAATTTTTTAAATAGACCAAAAGATGATGGTTGTGTCATGGTGTCAGTAGCTGCAGTGGCGAAGAAGAAGAGTTCTGCTGAAGGGAAAAAAAAAAGTAGATGCCCATCTTGCTTCAAACCAGCCACACTACCATCACCAAAAGCATGCCCACAAAAATATTCCAAATACTTTAAAAAATAAAACATTTTAACAAGCCTATTTACCTCTTGTTTAATAGTAATAAATACTATTAAATAAGAACATAAATAAGTTTGATTAACAGAGAAGACAACATAAAAAGATTCTAAAAAAATAGTTTGAATAACAGAGAAGACAACATAAGAGATTCTAAAAAAAAATTCAAAGATTAACCTATATTAAAAAAAAAAAAACTAGAATTACCTCTGACCCCGTTGAATAATCTGTATCATCAGCATCTTTCTGCACTACATTTACTTCATCATCCAGTTCATCATCACTATATTGTCCAAGTAAGAGCAGTGGATTCTCCTTATTATGACCTGAGTACACAAAAACATCATGTGAGACTGTAAGCAACTCCCTAAAAAGTAGCAGAGCAAGTAAGAAAATAATATGGTATAAATTTTAGTATATATCACTATATAGAATAAAGTTATTGATAAAGCTTCATTGGGCAAATGATCACGCCCAATCACCTGGAAATTAGATAAATTCACGTTAGTGGCTGGAAACCAAAACAAGATAAAAGCATACGAACCAAGGTGACACTTTGTCCTGAAATCTCCAAGATGCTGCCAAAAAGGTCATAAACTATTATTCATGGTGTCAGCTGGATCTGTAACAACTATGAACATTCCTTAGAACTCAGCCACCCCACAGTATCAAAATCAAAATCTGGGTGCATGCGACAATTCTTTTGCAGTATTTCCAAATTTCCACCAAAAATATGTTGTGCAAGGCTATCTTCTCTATATAGTCCTTGGAAGAGAAATTGATGGAACCCACCTGACGAAGATGGTGAAGGAGGAGCACTAGCAGAATGATCGTGTTCTTGATTAACACCAGCTTCCTCATTAATAGAATTGTAGTTTGCCTCCTCTACAGAAAGAACAATTCCAGAAGTCAGTATTTCAAATTAAGAAAAAAACAAGAATAAATACCTCAAATATTAAAATAAAATGTTAGTTTGATAATCATGAAAGGACAATGATCCACAAATCTAACTTATTAACCCAGCTATGAACTTTTAAATAAATTCTACAGCTACAAATGTATGAACTATGAACATTATGATATGATATACAAAGGCACAAACGAGAAAAAACCAACAGACGTCAATAGTATTGATTAATTTAAGGTGCCATTTGGAAATTGGAATCACTTTTATTTTGGCTTTTGGTTTTTCAATTTTTATTTTGTAGTGTTTTTTTTTATTGTTATTAAAAAAAAACATGTTTGATATGGAATAACATGTTTAGTTCTTTTCAAAAACATCGAAAAGTCCTTTTGATGTTTTTAGTGTTTATCAAAGCAAGTCGATTTATCTTAAAAAAATTAAAAAAACATACAGAAAATGCACAAAATAACATGTTTTTAAAATAAAAGCAAAAATAAAATACAGAAGTGATCCTTATTCTTGATTTACATGTTTGTTAATGTTTCAAAGCTAAATTAAACATATATACAATTAAAAAAACAAAGAAACTACACACAGTAACTTCTCTCTATGTAAAAAAACATTATTTCTCAATTTCTAGTTATGTGCCAGTATCTTCCAACTTAAAAAATGCAATAAGTTATCCATGTTTAAATCAAAGTAATTAAACCTCTTTCAAATAAAATCAATAAAAACTGTCATATGCCTGATATAGACAATGATATCATAAAATTCTTGATGTGCAGTAATACAAGTCCTTAATCCATTTTGATGACATGTTTGTGCATCTGCATTGACAGATATACATTGTTCTGATTTCAGCTCTAAAATGGCACACAACTCAAAAAACAATAAAAATACAAACCAAATTAAATGTGACAATGAGGATGAACAATAACCAAATTCAAAAAAATCAAGATACTAAAATATACTTCAAGGGTGCACATCGCAAGTTATACATCAAAAGTTGAACGGGTGTAAGTGAAATGGTACATTTTCAAGGCACAAAAGGACAATATGAGTGTAACTAGATGTGAATTGATACAATAGAGATACTACACATAAAGTTAATATATTATCAAAGACTTAAAACAGCTGGATTTTTGCATAGAAAAACATTCATCAACTTAACCAAATGCACTTAGAATGGAACAACAAAAGCAATTTCATAAATAATCACTGTTATCAACCATGAACAAATGGTCGAAAATAAGAATTTTTCAAATTGTGAAAATTCTAAATTAATAGCTTACTAACCTTCAATATGTAATAAACGCACAAAATTAGATAAGTTTGCCACAGCAACAAAATAAAGTGTTATGAATATAATAACAATTGCAAGAGGATCGATGTTAGCATACTCATAAAATGAACGTAATGACTAGATAGCAGAAGGACTATAAATGCAAGACCTTTAATGCACTTTAGTGTTTACGGTATAGTCATGAAGAAAGATAAACTGAGACAATTAAATTGGATCATTCTCTTTAGGACAAAAAAAAAAGAACACAGACAAATGATAAAACATTGATCCATTTCCATACACAATAAAATCTAGCAGAGAAGAAAGCCAAAAAGTATAAAGAGAGTCTTGTTTACCAAGAAAAAAAAATTAAAGTACCTTTTCAGATAAAAACTTACAAGAATTCATCAATCAGTTAGACTGCATGCAAGCAATATAAGATATACAAAAATAAAATTTGCTTAACATAAAACCATTCAATCCTTGGAAAAAACATGGAAAAAATTAATAAAATTGCATTCAACAATAGACGAATTATCTAGCGATACAAGGGACATAGCTTATATGTATACCATGTGAAGTCAATGACCATCAAACTTCTAAAAAAAAAAAAATGGTATTTCCCAAGCAGCTATGTGAAAGAGTGGTATACGGAGCCTAAACATGCATACAAAAAAAACCTAAAAAAGAAGGCATCAATCAAAATAAAACGCGAAAACATTGCCTCTTCCGACGCAATGAAAGCATTCGGTCATGCATGAAAAATGAAAACCTAAAACTTCTATCTGTGTAATAATAGACATAAGTTTTAATAAGAAATCCTCAAAATAAATAGTAGTTCGCAGGTGATTGCGCGAAATTGGATCAGAAAAATTAAACAAAAAACGTTTATTGTATTACGTTAACAAGACTAAACTACCCTGCTGCGCAGATTGAAGAATAACATAAGAATAAAAAAATACGAATCATTCAAGCTTACACAGCAATTTTTTCATGTAAGGCATATAGCTCCGCGTAAAAGCCTAATCTCTAAACCGCTAGTCATCAAAAGAGTAAAGTCATATTACCAGAGGGTTCCGCAAGGAGATCGAGCTTCACTCTTCGATTTGCAGCGCTCATAGCCGCGAGGCGTCGCTCCTTCCTCTTCCCCATCGAATCGCCTGATGAAGAACCGCGAAGATTATGTCAATTAGGGTTTGTAATGGGGAAGACACTGCTGGCGGACAGATCCTTCGAATTTATGTGATTGCAAAAAACAATATTGGGCCGTCCATCCATCAATATTTGGGCCGTCTGATAAGCCTTCTGGCCCAATTACTAAATTTAAAACAGACCCAAAAAACTACCCCGGTTAGGTTATACTTGTGACATCCTCTTCCGCTATCCAAGTGATAACGTCTTGCATAGCTAACTATTTCTCTTATTAGGGTTTAACCTCTAGCATATCATCCTAGGAAGTGCCTCTGCTAGCCTGGTAAGTGCTACAGAAGTATGCCATGTCCTTCAACAAGACATGGGGAGTTCAGCATTTAGTTTGTCATTTTAATACAGTCGGGCATGTTTCTCATGCAAGTTGATTGAATCACATTAGTCGTTCGCTTTATTCAACTTCGAGAGAAAAGTATCCTTCCAATAACTTGGTTGGGTTATTTGATCGATTCAGTCTGATCGATCTGCTATACTAGCTCAACAAACTGGCTAACTTCATGTCTTGGATCCATCCATAGCGTTTTTTATCATGTACTATCAATTGAGAAAGATTAAGACATTCTATAACAAACTTTTATATAAAGTTATTAAATAGTCATAAGTATACTATTAGGGGTGTAAATGAGTGGAGCTTGTTTGAGGCCAAGACTTGTTCGCATTCGTCTCATTCAAATGTTTTATTGCTCGTGTTTGGCTTGGATTAGAATTGACTCGTAAATAAAACATTTGTATTCGGCTCGATTTAAGCTTGATTAATAAAACATTTTATTTAATTTTTATTAAGCTAATGTACAACATTTGACACTATGTGTTGCACAAGAGTTTTGCACTTTTCAGTCTCTTTTTTACATGTAAACATAAAAGATAAATTTTGTAATACTGGCCGAGGGGGATCCGAAGAATTTGTGTACGCCACTCAAACTTTATGTATTTACATACGTAACACCTAAAATTGGCATTTTTTTAAGAGCTTTACATGCATACCAGCAAAATCCCATGTATTTACATATTTAACACAAAATTATATCACTCAAATAATTTTTAAAAAATAATTAAATATAGTATTTAAAAAAAACCAATATAAAAATTAATATAAAAAAATATTATTATTTAATGAATTATTTGTAGTTTATCACGAATGAACAAACATTTGTTCTTGTTCACTTAGTTTATAAATCAAGCTCAAAAAAATTTTCACGTACAACTCACTTACTGAACGAACAAATTAAACAAAAATTACATAATAAGTCGAATAATAGATGTCGTCAACGAGCTTTTTTATCATTCTTGTGACATTGAATCTTAACCAGAATTAGCTTGAGTTTGATATATTCTGTTTGACTTATGTCACATCAACTCATACTCCCTAATAGAGATTTAGTCGTTACCACCAAAAAAAAATGATATAGTGGAACTTTAATGATTCTCTCTACTCCTTCATTTCTCCCCTTTTTATGGAGTTGTAATGAGAACTCATAAGATTTTAGTATCGTTGAAGTATAAATTTGAATCAAATAATATTTAAGATGCAATCAGTGTGAGAGATACCTAGAACAAGAAGTTCATCTACAAAGTTTGTGAAATATGATTTAGGGTTTGTTTGGGATAGCTACAACTTATCGATAAGATGATGCACAACAATTGTCCGAGGAAGCTAATACATAGAAGTTGTTGCGGATAAGCTGGTTGATTGTTTGTTTTTCACAGTTTGAAAATAGTTGTGCGACAACTGTTTCTAGATAAATAATCATGCTGCCCTTGTGTAGTAATATTGCTTGTAATATAACTGTCATGACAATAAAAAATTTTAAAACTATGATTAACTTTAATGTTCTTAATATTGTTAAAAATAATATTTTTTATATATTTTTTTGTCAAATTAGAAAAATAGAAGTCAATGAAGCTTTAAAAAAAATAAAAGGGTGAAAAATAATTAAGTAGGACTTGATAACCTAGTAGAAGTGTGAAAATGATTAAAAGATTTCAGAATTTCTTGGTTTACTAAATATTTTAATATTAGTTTAAGAACTTAAAAAAAATGTTTAATGAATTAAGGAGTTTTTGGTCTTTATTTTTAAGAATAAATGAGATGCACAAGAATGTGCAAATTAAAAAACAATTAAGTTAATGTTTCATATATCAAAATAGTGGGAGAGAGTAATTAAATATCGCTTAAAACTGATAAAAATATTTCTCAAAATTAATTTTGATTTGATGTATAAATCTACTATGGAAGCTATACATAGATTAAGAGATCTAATAGAGAAGTGCAAAGAGAGTAAAGAGAATATATATATATATATATATTGAAAAATCTTCTGATGAGAACTCAAGAGAAGTTTTTGGGAAAGCTCTAGAAAAGAAAAATGTTGATATGATTTTTATTTTAAAAGATATGTATACTAGAGTTGTTACATGTGTTTGAGCAAAAAGGAGGATTAATCAAGGTTTTTTTTTTCTTCTTCACTTAGATTACATCAGGAATCAGCTTTAAACTCATATCCTTTTGCTTTAATTATGGATGTTTTTGTTGTACATTTAAGTGTATGCTTTTCGCCAATGATATGCTTCTTGTGGATAAGATTGGAGAAAGAGTACAGGAAAAACTTGAATCATGGTGATCGACTTTAGAGTCTAAACACTTTAGTTTGAGTAATTTTAAAATCGAATATATAAAATATAATTTTAGAAGTAGTAGATCTAGTGGCAATGTTGTAACAACGAGTGAACCAGTCATTAAAAAGAGTGATCATTTTAGATATCTTGAGTTCTTATCAATAGAATTCAAGTTGGATGGTTGAACTAGAGGAATGCATCAACTATGTTATGTGATAAAAAAATACCATTTAAAAGAAATTTTTATAAAATGATGGTGAGACTTGTAATGATTTATGACGGAGAATGTTAGCCTATAAAAGAGAAATGTAAAATTAAAGTCTTGCTAAGGTCAGAATGCTTGGTTGTTTTACTTTTAAAGACAAAATGTGAAACAAATATGTTCGTTAAAGGCTAGTGTAGCACCAATGGCAAATAAAATTAGAGAGAGTCGCCTTAGATGATATGGTCACACTAAATGTCGACCATCAGATTATTTATTTAGGAGAGTCGACTTTTTAGATTCGACTTATGTTAAAAAAGATCAAGATAGACCATAAAAGACAGAAGCATGTTATATAAAAAATGCTCTTAATTTATTAGAATTAAATTAAATTATAACACTCAATAGGGCGCAATAGAGAAAAAAGATTCATGTAACTAACCCCACTTAATAGGATGAAGGCATATTATTGCCTTAATCATGTACTAAAATATTTATAATAATTAAGAAATTTTTATCCTCCTAATAATATCATAAATTTCTCCGTTGTATAAATTATTCGTAAATTTGCAATTAACATGCTAAAAATCTAGATTAATTCTAACAGGGTCTGTTTGGGTCAGCTGAAGCTAATTAAATAATATGCTGATAAGCTAGGTGTGATAACTATTACAAATTTTTATTTTTTGGAAATGCAGGCCGTTGTCAAAAAACTGTCATTGCGCCTAAATAGGTGCAGAGTGAAAACGTTGTTTTTAACCTTTTCAAAACGCATAAGCTATCAAAACGTAGTTTACCCAAATAGTCCATGTGCATTTTCAAAACGCCACCGCAACAAATAAACTGCCCCAAACATACACTCAATGTTATATTATAGAAAAAAAATTTGTACCATAATGTTTTGATCGGGGCATAAAATATACAAATTATAATATAAAAGATAAAAGCTGGAAAATAGAAGACATTCAACGAAAATATTAAACAACGGCTTATATTGTATATGTTTTTGCTGAAAAAAACTAAATATCATCTTATTTTAAGCCTACATTGTCCGAAATATGCATACATTTAATTTTGGGATAATTACATGAAAAGCACCGGAAACTTTGATATTTACAAATTAAACACCAGGATGAAAATTAAAGTCTTGCTAAGGTCAAAATGCTTGGTTGTTTAAGTTTTACCATGAATTTTCATATTTGAGTGAGAATTTGAAAAATGGATGAAGAAGGTAGTTATATTGTAAATAGCAAGTTTCAGGTGGTCTGTGAAGAAAAACTCATTCAAATTCATCATGTAGAGACATTATCTTAAGAAAACCTAATGCAATTTTTTTTTTTCGGTAGCTTCTCTAATGAAGACTCCATTAGCATTGTTACAAAATGTTTATAAATTGCAGAACTACAACCAACCTTGGAAGGCCCAAAAAGAGAATTTTTACTTATTTACGACACAGGACTAATTGAGATCAACCAAAGTCTAATTACAGTAAACATGTAGTTATTAAAGAAAAGGAGCATTTACATACATACCACCCAATTTTGATGTAGTTACATATACTACTAAACTTTGTTTTTTATAATTATGCCAACAAAATTGTTCATATCACATCAATAATTTCATTATTTTGACTTCTAAACAATGAAATACACCTTTTCATCATGAGTGGCATATATGTAAAAGTTGAAGTTTTAAGTGTTAAATATGTAAATACATATGAATTGAGTGGCACGTGTGTAAATCCTCATTTAAATTTTTTTTTAAAAAAAGCCCTAAACAAAACAAAAACAATCATCTGACTCCCAACTTTGAAGGGAACAGATTTCAGAATATAGAGGAAGCAAGTTTACCGGAGATGCATTTGACATCACTGTGATCAAATTAGAACTGGAAAGAAAAAAAAAGGACGGGGGGAAGAGCTCAAGCATGCAGATCTTTGTTTGAGCTCCAAGGAGATGCGCCATCCCTAGACAAATTTGCTCCATTTTCTACACCAAGAAGAAGGTCGAGCTCGCTTTCTTTTGCCTGTCAGAAACAAAATGATGAGAAAGGCAAATTAGAACAAGAAAAGTGATTCATTTGTTAAATTGTACAATTATTGGAGGGCAAAATAATATTGGAGCAAGAAAGACCAAAATTCATATGGCTACAAGATGTTCACAAGGATTTACAAAATTCTAATGAACCAATGCCAAATTAGTTCCCAATAGACATGTCTGCATTTTTTTTCCGATTATTATTGGGTTAAGTAAATAAAAGAAATATCAACAAATGTTGGTCAAACAAACACTATGGACCTCTTTTAACTGGTTTTTATAGTTAGTTCGATAATGAGTATTTCTGTTGAAGACAAAACTATAGAAATTAGTTTTAGAAGATATGCGCATATGTAAAAAAAGCAAAAGATACGCCATTGAGACAAGAAGACAAAATTCATGTGAAAAGAATACAGAAAGGAAGATTAAAAATCATTTAATCAGAATCAAATAAAGAAGATTACACAAGGAAAAGATACCGACACATGCAGGACGGAAAAGATGTGACAGAATAATTCATAAAAAATAGCAACAAATAATTGAGAAAATGCAAATAACAATCATTATGACTACATATCATGCTGATTGTGCTATGGTTGCTGATTGTACTATGGTTTCACTGTTTATTTGCATACAGTCAATGCACATATCCTAAGGAAATCTAATATGATTAATACTTGCTAATTGATGAAAAATTTCCAATACTAGCATAGCCTATTTCCTAATTAAACATGGCATTAAAATAGTCAAAAGGATATCACTGATGCATGAAGAAGATGGTAGAAATATATAACATCTAGCACCTACTATCCTGCATCCATATTCAAGTACAGTTTTTTTTTTTTTTTTTAATAGCTTCTCAAGAAAAAAAGATACGATATTATGAGACTTTTATTTTGAGGCCAACTTCAAAATGTGAACGAACAATTTCATCCATTGAAGCAGATTTTGTTACGCTTGAGTTTTACTTCATATTACAAGTAAATAACAGAAACACGTAAGATAGTTAACATAGAAGGAAAAGACTATTCTGGATACCTGCGATAGCTGGATAATCACTTCATTCGCTTTTTCCTGGTTCTCAATGGTGCAATGGTAAGAATAAAGGACCATTCCAACAACTGCTACAGAAATTCCAAATATATTCCTCCAGCTAAATGGATCGTGGAGTAAAACATAACCAAATGCTAGAACTAAGCAAGTTTTGAGGTGCCCCAAAACTTGATATGTGACAGGTGATGTTTTTCCAATAACAAGAAAAGTACTGAAGTTCACAGAGACAGATACTAGGCAAGATAGTACAATAAAGACCTGCGAATAAATGAAAATGTGAGAGACACCTCTAGCTTTAGTAGGCTTCAGGGTTCTTGTTTACAAAAGATATTCTATTTAACCTACCAGAACTTGAGGCGTATACTTGAATGCAAAAACGTTCTGTTTAGTTAGAAGTCCATCAAGAAAAGGACCAATTATGAAGAGGGTTATTGCTTGATAGGGGCAGGATTGATACAAGAGCTGAGTAGATGAAACTTTGAACCTCTTCTGAATTGTGTTGGTCATCTGAGTAGCGCTCGCTAAGGTTTAGACAAAAACTAAGAAATATTTTTTCTATCTCATTTGGTAAATTAAAAATCACAAAACAATATGAAAGTTTTACATGTTACATAAATAACCACCAAATTTATCTTCTGTGAGTCTGCTTTTGACAGATGTAAAATAGAGCAAGCCCTTTTCAGGTGAAATAATGCAAGAGAAAAAAGATTTAGCAGAGTAGGTTATATGATCCTAAATTCATACAGGTGCAACTTCACTCACAACGAAAACAAAACTGCCAAAAGCTACCCTGATTAGATTAAAAAAATTATTCTTTCCATTGAGCTTGCATTCAAGGAGAAAAAAAAAAAAAGAAATAACATGCAGACTCCAAAAATTAGCACCCCTCTCCGTAAATGGGAGTGACCTGAATAGGATAGCTGAGCGGGTTTCATAACTGAAAGAGTCAGAAGAGGGAGACGTGCGGTCGGTCCTGGATTGCAGACGGACTGAGCGAGCACAGCAAGCAGGCGGCAATTGCTGGAATATGGAATGGATTTGGGCGGCTGGATTTGAAAGAATGAGAGATTTTTGGATTATTTTAAGAATAATCATGATGCTTATATTAAAAATATATTATTTCCATGTCAAATTCAATAATTTGCTGTATCATCTCTTCCAAGCATTCTCATTTCTAGGGAATTTTACATACCAATGTTAACTAAAAATTTGTGGCGGTGAATCTTGCAAGGATGAGCTTGTGCAGTACATTTTATGAACAGAACTTGTTTTACTAATTTCGACAGTCGTCAAGGCAATTTAGGCTTAATTTGTGCTTATTTGTTGTTTTCATCATGTTCAATCAAGTCCGTTATAGAGGGTTTGTTGAGAATTATGTGTAATAGGGGGCTTTATTGGGTTTATTTATTAAATGTTGTAACCCCTATTTAAATACATGCTGAATGAAATACCTAATTTTTGGCTTTTTTTCTTTCAATTTGGTATCAGAGCCAAACATGAATTTGTTACAGCCAGCACATAAATTAACTTAAAAATCTAAAAAATCTTATTTCACAACAAGAGAGAGATGGATCAAATGGAAAATTCAGACGACAAACAGATTACAACAGAAGCTCCACTAATTAGCACAAAGCAGAGCTGCCGCTTATTCTTCAATTCTCCTCCGGATAAAAAGCATAACAAGCAAATATAATATGAAGAGAAGCTTCAGCTACTCCTGCATTGCCTAAGCATGGTACTTTTCTAAGTTGGCGTCAAGATCTAAAGCAGATACTTACTTGGCATCTTAACGCTTCCACGGCCGCCTCTCCAGCACCGGCTGCTTCCAATTTAACCGATCATTTCAGTCAGCCTTTTGGAATTTTGTTTGAATTTCCAAATCTGCCTTCGGATATCCGAGTGATAGCAGCAGGCCTCTACTTATTTGCTCCAACAATCCATTATTCAGCTTCTCCTTGATGAAGAATCAATCAATCTCCACATGTTTAGTTCTATCGTGTTCCACCGGGTTGTTAGCAATATTGATTGCCGACTTGTCACACCACAACTTCATTTGAGTTCTTTGATTGACTTTAAGTTCAACCAACAAGTCTTTCAGCCACATCATCTTAGCAACTCCTAATATCATGGCCAAATATTCTGCCTCTGCTGTTGATCTTGCTACAACTGACTGTTTCTTGCTCTTCCACGAGACCAAGTAGCTACCTACAATTATGCAATATCCTTATGTGGATCGTCTGTCATCAACACAGCTTGCTTAGTCAGAATCATAAAAGCCCTCAATATCTACATGTCCATTCTTCCTAAATATCAACTATTTCCTTAATGCACTCTTCAGATACCTCAGAATTTGATACATTGCACCCTTCCTTGGATCATGCATGTAGCGGCTTACCACACTTACTGCAAAATAAATATCGAGTCGTGTGGCACGGATAGATCAAACAACCCACCAACTTCTTGTACCTCTCACGATCGACTGATTCACCTGCCTCTGTACTGAGCTTAACCTTCACATCAATTGGAGAGATGCATGTCTCCGTGAGAAGATCCAATACATACTAGGTTCATGAGCCATTTCAATCCCAAGGAAGTATCAGAGTTGTCCCAGATCCTTTAACTCGAATTGCTTACCCAATCTTTTCTTCAGTTGGGCAATCTCAATCTCATCATCACCTGTGATAATTATGTCATCCACATATACAACAAGTATGGTAATGTGACCCTCATATTGCTGAAAGAATATTATATGGTCTGCATTGATCTGTTGATATCTCATGCCCACCATCGTCATTCTAAACTTGTCAAATCAGGCTCGAGGAGACTGCTTCAAGTCATACAGTGACTTTCTGAGCCTACATACCTTGCCCACTGTATATACCTGGTGGTATCTCCATATATACCTCCTCCATAGCTCCTCATGAAAAAAACATTCTTCACATCCAAATGTTAGTCTCCACCCACCATTCACTGCCAGAGAAGCCAGTGCCCTCGCCATGCTCATTTTTGCTACTGGTGCAAAAATTTCATCATAGTAAATGTCATACATCTGACTGTGCCCTTTTGTCACTAGTCGTATTTTGTACCTCTCCACATGTCCTTCTGAAGTTCGTTTTACCATGAAGATCCACTTGCATCCAACTAACTCCTTTCCTGCTGGTAGTGGTACAATCTCTCATGTTCGATTTTTATTAAGAGCTCTAAGCTCTTCATGCATCGCTGCTTCCACTTGGAATCCTCTTTAGCAATCTGTCAACACTTAGACATAGAGATAGAGTCCAATAATGCAATGAATGTTCCATGCAAATGTGAGATGTTAGAATAAGAAATAAAGTTCGTAATGTCAAGTTCCCGCCCATACCGATCAAGAGGATGTCATGTATTGTTGCGTGAGGTTCTCCTTAATATAGGGGGGTAGGAGTGGATGTAGGACGAATAATATCACCTAGGAGTTTATTCATCCCACATCACAAAACATGACATTGCTCCCACTTGCACCACTCCCCACTTGCACCACTCCATCACTCCATCACCACCACTATTCACTTTCTCTTGCCTTATATCTTCAGTGTCTGTTGAGTCACCAAAGGGTGAATTCACCTCCAGAGTGTAGTATGGTTCAACTTCTCTAAATAACATATCTATACTAATAAAAAATCTCTTCTTAATCAGGCTCCAGCAGACATAACCCTTTTGAGGAGCAGAATAACTCACGTACACACATTTCACAGCTCTGGAATTCAACTTCCCTACAGATAACATGTTGTCTTTCACAAAACATACACATCCAAATACCTTTAATGAAAGGATTCCTGACAAAGAGACTTGCATTCCAACACTCTTGAAGACATTCTATTAATCAATTGAGTAGTTGTCAACACTGTTTACTTCCATAAGTGAGGCAGGGCACTCATTGCTATCATCATGCTCCGGGCAACCTCTAGAAGATGTCGATTTTTCCTCTCTGTTACTCAATTCTATGCTGGTGTGTATAGACATATGGTTTGGTGTTGTATTCCTTGAGCTGACAGGTAGTCTCCAAATGTTTTGTTGATATATTTTATCCCATTATCAGATCCCCGTGCCTTTACAATTGCCTCATATTGAGTCTGGATTACCTTCTAGAAATCTTTAAAGCATGCAACCACTTCACACTTTTGTTTCATCAAATATATTCAGGTAACACGAGAAAAAGAATCAATAGATGTAACAAAATAACGATAAACATTTATAAAATTAGTAGGACATGATCCCCATACATCAGAATATATCAAATCAAACACACCAGAGCTCCTCTTTCCATAATTGACATAAGAGCTGCTTGTGAGCAAACTCACAAGCATCACATGGCTGATAACCTTTTTTATGCCTTTCCATAACCACAACTTCATTTTTTTATGCCTTACTCAGACTCAGTGAGTTGTGAAATTTATGTCGAGGTCAACATAACAAATAAAACCTTAATTATCATCTAATCTAATTATATAAACATTTTCAAATGGCAGGTTGTAAATAAATTTTACTTTATGGTAGAATAGTTAAACTGAAAATCATTAAAGGATACAATTTGGGCGACGCATGTCGTAACAATCGCAAGCAGCGACAAGATAGATCCGAGAATATTGAGTTGAAGATCTGTCACTGTGGCAATTCCAACACCAAGAAGAAGGATGACTAGGGATAATTGGATGCTCCGACTGCACTAAGCCAATAAAAAGAGCCAAAATGTTATTCAAATAGCTATGAAATGAACAGCACACCAAACACAAGATATAATCTACGCATTATAATTCCCACACAAAATGGTCAGATGCACCAGCAAATAGAAATTTCAGGTGACACTTAATTGGTAATTAATGAAAGAATATGGAAAAATATGAACATACAAAGCAAACCTTTAGACAGCCAATGAGCAGGCATGACTAAATGTAGTGACAAATTGCATCACATTTTATGGTTAGCATCCGTTCTTAAGAATGCAAAAAAAAAAAAAACACACACACACACACACAGAAGCCAGTAAAATATCTTGTTTATTACCAAACTTCTTTAAAATTAACAACAACAATAATAATAAGGTAAATTTACATACATAACACACAATTCTTATGTATTTACAATGTTATATATCTACCGCCCAAAGTTTGATATCTAAACCTATGCATAAAAAGTGTATTTCACTTTCACTAAGATAGTGATGGTGATATTTTGGATGTGATCTTAAGAATTTGAATGGTATGCATGTAAATATGAATGTCTGGGTGATAGATATTTAAATGCATAAGAATTGTTTGGTATGTATGTAAATGCCCCTAACAACATAAACAAGCAAAAGAATTTCTAAAGTTTTTGTTTCCAGAGTACATCTAGGCGGAAATATAAAAACGCTTGCTGTTGCATTTATTTGAACTACAAAATGGACGTCAACATGTTGATCATTTTGTCCTCGTGAGAATATTTTATTCATCCTCCACGAATCAGCACATCTTCAATATTCAAGAAAAAGTATGAGATATATTTCAAGTGTGCAATGATATCAGCTTTGTTAAGAGTTAATACTTAACAAATGTATATGACTGTAAAACAAACTAATCTTTATCCTACAATATCCGCCTCACAATGTGTATAAAACAGACCTGAACTTCTTTCTGAAGAAGAGAGTCTCTAACAGAACAGTACAGGGGATAATTGCAAGCTTTGTCATCTGCATTGCAAAAACAAGCATATAGAACAAATGAATAAGCATCTGAAATAATAAGTTACTAACAGTAAAACATTAAAAGCTTTACAGTTTGAGACCAATTGTATATTAAATGTTAAAAAAGCAGAAGCAGGCTACAGTAGCCGCAAATCTAAAAATTGTATCCAGAAAGGACCAACGCTAACGGTTATGTTTATCTTTATAACCAAAACATTTTGTGCAGAAAAGAAAACTTATGTAGATATTAAGGTTATTAAACAAAACACTAGAAGATGAACCACCTGGTAGAATCCAATGGAATTGAAACCGAGGCTTAAATTCAACAGACCAATAGAGCATCCATTCAGTATTCCAAATCCCATTACAGCCCTTGGATCAAAAGGTTTATGTTCAAATAACTTCATCCATAGCGCCATATGAAGAGAACAAAATGTGACCAAAAGATGCCAGCTTGTCAATGTTGTGGCTGCAAATCACATATGAGTGCGATTAAATATAGCATTTATAAACGAGATTAGTCACTGTGAGCTGATGACTTAAGTTCTACCTAAAACAAGAATATCAATCCGAAAAGAGAGGGCTGGCCATTCCACTAGAGGAAGAAATATTGTTAGAATATTGCATGAAAACTAAAACCCCTCTACTTCCACTCTTGCATTGGCTGAATTTTGATTTAAAGAAAAAATATTTTTGCTTTATTATTATGTACTTATTTTATTTTCTTTCTTTGGCCAACTAATGGCATGAACACATCCATCAGATCTTTGTAATTGGGCTAACAACTTCCATTATCTAGCTATGTAGGCTACCACTATATTTTGGAGTGTTAAGAGCACTAAAGTTGTAACTCACACATTTTATTATTGAATAATACAGCACTTTGCTTATGCAACTTTGAACAAAAGCCTAGTAGCTGCTCTAGCGTTGACTCCATGTATGTTTATCTAGGGTACTTAGGAGTTTCCCTCTTATCTCAATTTTCCCCGTTTTCCCTCTTTCTAACTCCTGATCCAACACCAAATACTTCCTCTAAATTGATCAACGACTTTCCACAAACCCAAAACAATCCCCAACACGCCTAGCCCTACAAGCATCGAACACCATTCTTTCCATATCTAACCCAAGCCTCACATTATAAACCATAAAAAGAGCCTTCTCCGGTTTCTATCCTCCCAACCCTAATCCAGCAACTCCCAAGTCCACCATCCCTCTACTGCCTTTTAGACAATTCTCCAAACCTTGGTCCCGTACAACAAATCATATCACTCTAAAGCATATCCTTTTGAAGCTATATCCAGCCTAAATGCCTCCCTTAACATAATATAAGACAAAATGTTACTTTTCTCAAAGCCTTTATAACTTCACACATCGCGCTGCACCCCCACCCCAAGCCTTTTCAGTAAGCTAATTGTTAGTTTCACCATTAAGATCCTTGGGCATCTCCATCATGTTGGTATCAAAGTCAAGTGCTCCAAATAGATCAAAATAAAAAAGCTTGAAGGCAAGAGTTAAAAGAAAAAGCAACTAGGCAAAATATCTGATTTTCTCTGAGGCAGGCTTTACATCTTCAAGACAGCAACATACACAAAGCATCTAGCTAGTGGAGGCTTGCCATCAAGAAAGGTTAGTCTTGCTCTCTCAAAGCTATTACATCACGTATTCAATAATTTAGTCACATAAAAAAGAAAACCTAGAAAATTGCATATCACCTGGCAAATCTGGAAAATTGTAAACAATCTAATTAGTAAAACGCCGCTGTTCAAACCTAATCTAACCAATGTGAAACCTACAAAAATATAATAGTTCATCAAATTCCAAAACACTAACAAGTTACATTTTATTCTGCAACAGATAGGGTCCAACACACACTTATTCACCTTAAGAGAGTTACCAACCAAAGTATCTATATTTTGAAGCAAATATTAGGTTCTTCAAAACTTGATACATACTTGACTCCAAGGCAACAATATATCACACCACCATTTAATTTAAACTTTATAGTGCTGGAACATCTAATCCTGGACATAGTTCCAAGTCCCATGCAAACACAACCTCTATATCTCGACTTATATAGAAAAACATATTTAAATTAGAACACATGATTAAAAAAATTTGAATCCAAAATTTAATGGTCTTTAAACATATTTTTTAAAGTCTTCAAAAGAGCATCACTAATTTTATAGCCAAGAAAACTGCAATAGTACTTACATTAGCTAACTTATCCTCTTTATGATTGATGTTTTTGGTTCTCTTTTCCTCACAAAAAAAAAAATAATATGTTATTTCTTCTTATAATAAAAACAAGTAATCCTTTTGAATTTAATATATGATTTATTACCATAATTAGAAGAGAACTCTCACTCATGGGACCTCCAATTTGCAATAAACCTTCAATTGGTTTATTGCTTCCCTTTAACTTATAAATCATCTCTTTTGAAAAAAATGAATTATTGAAATCCTCCAAGCATTGTATCATGATTATATAATATGATATCTTAAAAATTCAAACAACAAAGTAATAAATAGCAAAATAGGAATAAAGCTTAATTTTTACCATTAACAATTACATCAATATTCTTAAAATCTTGAATGATAAAATTAAAATCATTCAAATGTAAATTAATAGACATTCGTTCTTACATGAAAAGCGAGCGAAAGCTTTGGAAAGACCTTTAGTCATATTTAATTACTCTAACTTAAGCATAAACCTTTCGCATTTATCTCCTCCAATGCCTCTATCAAGACCTCATCTACTAAACATAAACAAAGCATTAAAAATCCGTATTATCCAAATGTGTTTTATCTCTTTCACACATATTTTGAGGCATCTTTCAATGCTATATAAGTGCTTTTATAAGCCCATGTTGGACAAATATAATACACATAAGAACTCTTTAAAAATCAAAGCTCTTTAAGCCATCAAGCTTCTCAATCTTGAACTTCATGGTCATCATGCTTTTCATAAGTTCTCTAATACCAATAAATATAAAATAGTGTGATCTCATTCTAAGGGCAAGTACGATGAACCACAAAGAAGTTGTAAACGAGAGATCAATAACTCCAAAAAAAATACCAATGTTTATGTGATTTTGTTTAAATAAACTTATATTCACATGTGTACCCAAATCAAATAATCAACTGGACTTTAAGATAAATACATGAAAAATTATAAAATATGGACAGCAATATCACTTTACCTAACTAAAGATAATATAATCACCGACTACAAAGATAGTGAATAGACTTGTTTTTTCTACAAGCTAAATAGCTCCACTAACAAGTACTAGAAAGATAATACTATAGAATTAGAGGAAAAACTCTCATCCTCTCATTAAGCAAAAAACAAATATATACACAACTTAGACTAACCCTCATACAATTGGAGGAAATTCAAATTATAGTGATAAAAAGGAAAGAAATAAAAATACAATAATGGATAATTAAGGGAATAATTTATCCCCCTCAAATGTAATAGCGGACCCACATTTTCCTAAATCAGATATGTATATCAACAAATACATTTTGTTGTTTTTTTTGTGATATGCTTAAATATAATGCATCATCTCTTTATTTAATGCTTAGAAATGGTAGACAACAAACTTGAATTCAGTAAATCTTGTATCTTGAAAAAATAGATGTGAAAGAACTACTATTAAATTAGGTTGGCCACTAGCCTTGAAAAATCACTCAAATTGAGTTATATAGCCACCATCTCGTAAAATCAAGTATAAACGAATCTTCAATTTACAGCTACCAATCTTGAAAATTCAAGATCAAATTGTATCCAAAATCGTTAAGGACATTAAAGCTAACATCTGACAAAAAAAGAGAAACTATGGAGGTATAATTCAATACTTGGAAAATTACATCAGTTTCAATGAGAATTTATCAATTTATAATCAATCAAAACATGTTAGCAATCAAAAGATAGGGCATTCATATATGAGTTCTACCAAAAAAATTCATGTAACTTGGTTTTATCAACTAAAAGGATTATCAATGGAATAAACAAACGAGATGGGAACCTATTTAGCTTGAATAAAAAATAATTATGGTTTTAATGTGACTCTGATCAAAATTACTAATCAAGTGTTGATATTATCTGAGTTATCATTATGTTATGATTAATTGCATTATAGAAGCAAATGGCATAAAAGAAGAGCCGTGATCTAAGAATCTTGTGGAAGATTAAACTTGTAAGGATAAATTTGCAGGTATAAATTAAGAATGTCTTAATTACAAAGATTAAGACTTGAATTTCAATAACGCACCAAGAAGAGAGGAGAGAGAAATTTCAGTGAAGCGAATCAAAGAAGCTAGCCAAACATTACTCCATAAAATCCATCCCTTCTCTCCCTTCTCCCATTTGGCCAAGTATTTTTTTTATAGAGATCCAATGGAGTATTCCCTTAACTTGAGTTATGATTATCTTCATTTTATTATTTTGACTATTGAAATAAGAATGCCTTATCCATTATCATAAAATAGATTTTAAAGGAAAAAAGATTTTTAGGATATGATTTCCTAAATTTTGATTTATGAATAGAACAGTCAAGCAGAAAGTAAATGAAGTAAATTACTCTCTCGGTCTCTCTCCACTGACACACACAAACACATATAGATTCAACCAAAAAGGCCTGCCCGAATTCTCACTCTCGACTTAGGCCATCCAATATTCTATGGCACAAATTTCAAGAAATACACTAACAATCAATCTCTTTATCTTTCAAATTAGTTAAATAGCCTAATTTGTAAGTTATTTTCCCCTTAAAATCCCTATTTCTTATGTTCTTGTTTTTTCCTACCAATTAGACAAGTCTTTTGCACCCTATTTTTGGAACAAAATGAAAATATTTAATTAGATTTGGAGAGTTATAAAGAACATTGCAGTGATTTAATTAATAATATATTCAAGAAAATAGTTAAAATTAGAATATGTTGAATAATTAAAGAAGAAGCACTTTTTACCAATACTAAAAAAAAAGTAAATGTTCAAAATTAGACTAATTGTAAAAGATTCAAATGCATGAGTCATGAGCCGAAGTTTTGAGAGAAAGAAATGAAATATAGGATGAAAAAAATCACATCAATTTCTAATGATCAATTCAATTTCATGCTAGCAAGATCTATTTTTGAAACAATTTTTATGTTAAGACAATGAAGGGAAATTTATTAAGAGCCAAAAAAATCTTTCATATGATTTTTCCATCTTGAGAAGACACACAATTAACTGCCATAAAATTATTTGATGAGCAATAAGACAAAAACATGTGAGTCAAATGTTATTAAATATATATATGATGAAGCACCAACTAGTACTAAAAGTAACTATAAGACACTCAAGTATTTCCAATAATAGTAGTATTATATAAAAAATCAACATCGAGTTCATAACTTTTTATAAAAGATATCAAAATGCTTATAAAAGATATTCAAAATTGGGTGTCATTCTAAGCTTTTTATTAATGACATAGTTCTAATTGATAAGACATCTACTGAAATAATTGAACAGTTATAACGTCGACTAATATTTCAAAAAAAGTTTGAAGTAGAATTAATAGAACAAACACTAATTATGTAATATGCAATTTTAATAAGTGTGGCGTTAACAATTGTCAATCAAATCATAAGGTGATAAAAATGTCAGATGGGTTTAAATGAATTTGATCTATTACAATAAAATATAGAGATATAGATGAAGATACAAATAACAGAGTTAAAGCTAGATGCAAATCATACAGTTGTGCTTATTTCACATTATGTTTAAAGAATTTCTTTTTGAGAATATAAATGATATACATTCATTAATCCAGTCATTTTACTCGTCTACCTATATATTATCCATTGTTATAGCACAATCGAATTCTTGGAGTTGAGCCAAAAAGTACTGTTAAATTGCCTCCACAAAAATATATCAACCACCGGATTAAATTAAAAAAAACTATACAATCTCTCCAATAAAGGATAAGGCGTCTTAAATCAACCCAAACCAAACCAACATTGGTGGGAAGCTCATGCAGTATATATGTTCTCTGTTTAACGAGGATAACATGGTCTTCTTGAGTTGAATTAAAATGATGAAGAGAGAGAAAGCACAAAATGATATTCATCAATGACAAAGCAATCCCTTCGGCAGGAAGCCTACAATACTCTCCCGTTTGATATCGCCGAAACATTCACAATATCTTAATCCTCTCCCATCGCTGAGGAAAAAGTTCAGCTACAACTCTCTACAATAATAATGCAGCCATGACTCAGATGAACCCATTATAATCATTTTTGTTACGTACAAACACCATCAAACGAAATAGAAACATAGAAATTAACATATGCAATTCACAAGAAATCAGATTCAGGACACCTATGCATGTAACTCAAAGCCATAATTAGCAGTATAACAAAGCAAATAATAATCATGGTCATTATTAGAGCTGTAAGTCTAAGATTTCCCAATCTCTCACCAAATGTAAAGCCGAGAGAACTAATTAATGCCTTGTTACAGATCACAATTGACACAGACGATACCACCGATAGCGAAAGCGCGCCGACAGTACCCAGCTGGAACCGCTGGTTCTCACCCATCTCCGCTTCCAAATCCCCACCTGTTCACTCCTGCAATCTGCAACACAAACAAATACATGCTTAAAGAATTTAAAAAAAAAAAAAATCGGAAAACAATTCCGCTTATGATTCCGCTTATGAATCTCACCGCATTCCCAGATGACAAAAGCCTATCAACATCCAAAGGATTCCGATATTTGTAACCCTAGATCACTTCAGATTCAAATGGAAAAGGACAAGGATCAGGATTGCAATATCTCTGGTTGTTCTCCTTATAATGCCTTCGTCCCCAACCGCATTGAAATCTTTGTCTTCGATTTGAGGCTGTTCAGAAAAGGCAAGGGAGGGTGGAAGCCATGCATGCGAGAGAAGCGAGCTCCGTCGTCAGTGTGTTAGCATTTTTCTCTCTCCCTCCGAATTTGGTTAATGAAAAATGTTTGGTTAATGAAAAATTCCATTTACTCCCCGGATTTCTTGCCGCCATTATCGGAATTCGGACGAGGATTGAAAAGGCGGAGAATTATGGCTTCTGTGGTGTCATTCAGTCATTCATGTCTATTATTTGACAAATCAAGTCGCGTTAGCTGAGCTTATGGTGGTTCTGAATTTAGCTTGAAGATAATTGATGACTTTTGAATTATGACCCCGATTAAGATTTGATCGAAATAAGTCAGCTAGTCTATCAATTAAATTTTTAGATTGAATTTTTTTCATTCTAATTTAGAGCCAAACTGATTTGAAATCGAATTATTAACACTTTACATGCATATTGATGTCACGACAGTTAATTTAGCGAATTTAGCTCAAAGAATATTAATCGCGTGAATATTGACTTGAATTTTCGCTCAGGTCGTGATCAGATTGAAATAAATGAGCCAAAATTCTAGATCAAATTTTTTGTCGATCTGATTTTGAGCCGACACAAGCGCAGCTCGAAATCATATCATTAGGAGCCATTGTTGAGCCAAAATGTTTTTTTTTCCCTTCAATTTTTAGTATTTACATATACATTATATAATTTTTAAGTATTTACATGTTTAATATCAACATTTACTTTTAATATATTTTTAATGGCACATAAAAATATCGTAATAATTAACCTTATAAAAATGAAATACATTATTTAATTCATGAATAAAATTAGTCAAAGTTGAAAAATAAAAATAAGAATGTTAGAATTTTGAACATATATAAATTGGGTAGTATGTATGTAAATCTATTTTTATTTTAAGTTCCAAGACGATGAAATTTGATGATTTATTTACTAAAATTAATTTTGTCTCGTCTTGTTTAATATCACCGGATACTTTATTATACTGATATTAATATGGAGTGTTAACTATTATCACTCACAATAATAGCCGATTGAGAAAATTTTTAACTAGAACTACCTAAAATTTTTTTACTCACTTCAATGAAAAATTATTTCATACGGACATCACATGTGCGGTGTTCGATCTGCACCGCTCATGAAACTAAAAGTTATATTTTGGTGAGCCATATTTTCAATTTTTCTTTTTTTTTTTTTGAAAAAAAAATTTGATGGAGTCTGATGATCGGTGCAGATCGGATATCGCGTGCATTTCCGTATGTGGTGTTCATATGGAATAATTTTTCCACTCCAAAGGGCAAACTAAGGGTCTGTTTGGGACAGCTGCAGTTTATCCAACTTATCCAGATAAACAACTTATCATGATAATTTGTTAATCAGTAACTTATCATGATAAGCTGGCTGACTGTTTGGTTTGTGCGTTTTGAAAACAGCTGATTCTGGATAAATAAATATTTTGTCTCTGTTTTGGATAAATTATTTAGCTGTTTGGTTTGTGTGTTTGCAAAACAGTTGATTTGCAGTTTTTTATAAATAAAAGAATAATCTGGCACGAAGCAGTTGTATTTTTCACAACAAAACTGCAATGTCCACATATTAAATATTTTAGAAACAATAAAACCCCTTCATAACAGTACAGAAAAAGACATATGCCTCACCTAATAGTGAGTATCAGGAAAACTAAAAGAAAAAAAGAAATAACATGTTAAAATTACAAGCACCGTTCCATTTAATGCAAATATCTTGATGTTATTCACTCAATTGAATTGCTCAATTAGCACAAACTATATGAAATTCAAAAGAGTAAAAAGAATTTGAAAATCGGATAAAAGAGGGTGCTAGACTTGTAAATAACAATGTTTCTTATGCTATGTATATAATTGCCCTTAGAAAGGCTATCATTTTCTTAAATTGTACAATATAGGACCGAGCCGATATCTATTTTATTTTATTTTTAATGCGACTTGAGAGACAAATTTTTGGAGTTTGACATTCATTTTGTGTTTTTTATGCTCTCGAGGTACAAATTTTGAGAATTTGATATCTATCTTATTTTTTTGTGCTTCTTAGTGAAAAAATTTTAGGAGTATGATATTAATCTTCATGCAACAATAGTATATCATGTACGTATTTTTTATATTTATAATATCACCCGATTCAACTTCAGATCAAACTTCACATCATGAATCTCTTCAACTTCACTTTCATTATCCGATTTAGGGTTTGTTTGGGGCAGCTGCAAATTATCAATAGGTTATTGCATATAAGTTGATTGGCTGTTTGTTTATTATTGTTTGAAAACAACTGTCAAACAAATGTTGTTTGTAACATAACTGTCATAGCAACATATATGACATTTTAAAAGCAAAAAGCCACTTTAAAACCACAGCCTCCACACACAACCACAGTCACCACAATCACGTCCACACAAAACCACACATCCACACACAGTCCCAACCCACACAGCACCGACACGATCGTTTCTCTTCAAAACCTCGCATTCATTTTAAGTATAGCCTTCTTTAATTATCTAATGGTCAAATTTTTTAGTTGAGAAAAAAAAAAAAACATTTTCAATAATGAATAGTCAAATTAGCTACAAGTTGTAAAGAGACTTTGAATATATAAGTGGCAACACCTCTAATAAAAGGAAACATTCAGAATATGTATTTTTTATTTGAATTGTATGATTGAGAAATTCAACTAAAATATTAAAATCAAATTTATTTGTTTCTTTATATATAAGAAATTACATATATAAATATCATAAGAAATAATACATATTTATTAAACTATCGTTGAAGATAACAATAAGAAAAACACGTCTTGCATGTGTATTATTTGTTTCTAATATTTCGAAGCAATTAATTTTATTGAAATTTACTTGGCAATAACTCGTTATTTACTGTTTTTATCAACAATTTTTTTTTTCCAAATCTATCATAAATATATTTTTAGGTATTACGTGTTCATAAAAAGAGCACTTCAGAGGTTAGAACAAATATTATGTCCTACGTCCGGAGTCCAATAAAATCATATCACGTGGAGGTGACAGAAAAATAAAAAAAAAATCGTTTTAGTACAAGGAATATTCCTCCCGTATTATTCCGCATTATTCAAGTATTATTGTGATGATATTCATGTATTATTGTGTTCTGAGAATTTTTTCGGTATTATAATAACACAATAATACATTATTCCACCACAATAACATATGAATAACGCAGAATAATACGGGAGGAATATTATCTTGTTACCGGGCGGATCACAAGAAAAAACGAGTTTTTTTTCCTGTCAGCTCATGTGGAGGTGATTTATTGGACTCCGGACGTATCCCTATGTTCGGAGACTGGATGTAATAATTTTTCCAGAGGTTAACACCAATTAACGTCTGACGTACAGCGCTCCAATTAGGAGTAATATTATTCAAATTAAATCACATATTTAATTGAAATTTTGTTACGTATTTAAACACGTGTTAAAGCCAAAGATTCTCTTAAATCTGTCTATTTACATACCCGCCACGCTGCCACCTTGATACCTCGAATTTTGCCATTTTTTTTAGCAAGGATCTCGTGGAGTCATACGAATCATCAAGAAGTCCAAATTCAACGTATTAAACTAATCCGGTCGGCGAGCAGGAACCGATGACATCAAATATGGTCTAAGCCGACTCAAATAAATTTTAGATCAAACTGTTAAATCACTTTTAATAGTTTCAAATCTGATAAATTTGTAATTGAATCGAGTATCTCGATAAGACGAATTCAATGAGACCAATATCACTCCATTTCCACATCGTTAAGGCACTTAAATGTTCGCAATAATTTGTTCGATCATGAGAATCTTTTTGGGTCATCCAATAGAGTGGTCTAGATTATTTTATTGTTTATATAGGAAGTCAATCTCAAGAATCTATAAATAGAGTTATAATCCTTTCATGAAAGGAGGACCTGGACTTGAAGGGAAGATAACCAATTCTCAGTGTTGTTCTCAACCAAATGTTGGGATGGAATGTACACTTAAGGCTTCAATCAATTACAAATCAAAACCACACCTCATAATAGGATCACACAAATTAAGGAAATTTGAAATAAAATTTCAAATAGAAGCGCAATAATAAAAAAAACAAAACACTAAAATTTACTTGCCACCTGACATATATATGTCAGTTCAGACGTGGCTACATCAAGAAACAAACACAGTAGCAGCCTTCGGTGACCATGGGGTGTTGTTCCTCGGGTGTTGTAGTGTTACAAACTTCACACTTAACAATCTTCCACTTATAGATTGATAGCTCCCTCTTGACAAACCTCGCTAGGATATGTCAAACATATATGTCTGAACAAAATTGAACTGAAATAACTTATTTCAAATATCCGAAAAAGAATAGTTATGAAAGCTAACTACAATCATAAATTTAAGTGTGTATGTCTATTCTGGGGTCTAGAGTGTTGCCGAGGAGACGCATCCCTCTTGTTAATTACATCTTGGGGGTTGCTAAAAAATACTCTTGATCTAGGGAGTTTTGCTTGCATTAGAAGTGACAACTAGCACAAGACTATAAAATGATGATTATTTCACATGAAAATACTTCGAAGCTTTCAAAGCTCCCACTAAGCCAGAAGGCGGAGAGTGGGACTCTCACGGTCCCACATGGGTAATAGACTCATCAATATACGAAGTCTGCAAAATAACCGAATCATCTCGATGAAGAATCTCAGTACGTCAAAACACATTCGGACCATAAGGGTTAATGACAAATCATCCTATCCCAAGCAGGGTCGCAGCTCATCTTTAATCAGTGTGTCAAGATGATACAAACGAAGACAAAAGGAGAGATATGGCTCAATATGGGTAGTCAAAGGAAGGAAGGAAGGAGTAATCATTAAAAGGCAGAGGTAGCCAGGTCGGGGTCCACAGACTAGTCATCCCAGACCACTAAGACCATATGTCAACCCGATTGTGAAGGTAGTCGACCCAACACGTCCTGAGATTCCCGGTCTGCAATTTGTTAATTGTATCTTCCACGGGAACCTCAATAGCGTTAAGGTAAAATAAACGAAACTTTATTCTGTAACTATCAGGTATAACTCTAAGAGGTGAGACTTATATCTGTCGAAGTGACAATGAAGCTACTGGAAAAGAAGAGAAAGAGAAGTTTAGCTACAAAACAGAAAACACTCCCAACTAATGACTTACACCCCGTCTAGGTCGAGGTGTCTTCTAATGACCTAAGTGTGCTAGACA